CTTTGTCTGATGGTATAGGTCTCTATGGGAACCAGGACCAGCTTTACAATCCTTCGTCGTCTAATGGCATCATTGAAAGCAGACGTTTCAGACCAACCCATCAAAGATCCATACCACCGGGTCGAAGACATCAAGATATTAGACAACAAAACGAAATTCAAAGGCAAAGAGTAAGTGAAAAAGTGTTTACTTATAACTAAGTTACCCCGAAACGCCATCTCAGACAATTCCCTTACAGACAGAAAGTACTGCGAAATTATAGGACACTGAAGATTCTAGTTTCTCCCTTTAAAGAAAAATCTATGTCGGCAACGGAGTAACCCGAGCCTGACATTTTATAACATGCACATTTCTATTTTCCTTTCAGCCTAATGAAGTGATCCGGAACCATCCAAAAAATATAAACGCCGTGAATTTCTTTAACCCCTTATCACCGTCAATACGAAACGTACGAGTGACACAAGCTTTCTTTTAGATACGTTGGACAAAACTTGGTAATTGCTTCAATGAACCGATACTCCATTCACTGTGGCCAGTTAGTTCTCGTCAATATATAAAAGATGATTTTACCGTTAGAGTTAAATAACTCTTGTTGCTTTTGGAAGGAGTATCACATGAACGTGAAAGGCAATTTTGCTAAAGTTTCTGTTGAAGTTTAGCTAACAGTGTGTCTTTCATTGCTCGATGAACACCTAAATGACTAAAGCTACGAGTTGGTTATCCGTTGTATTGCTGACAGATTACAGACGTCTGTTCTTGTAGCGACAGAATCTCGGTCTAGGAACGCCAAGTGTCTTTCTCAATCAAAGCAGGCTTTATCACGAACTAAGATGGATAAGATTGGACAATTATGTCCACAAGCCTTTCTTAGATTATTTGACAAATGATGATAATTAGTATCATACATGATTAACTAAACTTATCTCCATATTTCGTTCAAACCTATGTCGGTGAATCTGTGTACTTATAGCAGAAATAGAATATTGTTCATGCTTGTATAAAGTACATCATTATTTTTGTAAATCTTCATCAATCATCATCCATCATTGTTTTATATGATTTATAATGAAATAAACTTAACAAATTTATATCTTTTTTTTTGTTCATTGCAATCATGAGATGACATGTATATCACTTAGCCTCAATGCACCCTTGATAGCATATACATGTATTGCACAATACTTATCAAAGCCTTTTTGGCATATACATGTATTGCAAAATGCTTATCGAACCCTTGATGGCATATACATGTATTGCACAATACTTATCAAACCCTTGTTGGCATATTCATGTATTGCACCGTACTTATCAAACCCTTGATGGCATATACATGTATTGCACAGTACTCAGTCTCTGAGTAAGTATTGTTTCATGCTGCGACAATTGCCACTGAATCTGGATCTGATCTGGAAATAGAATGATGAATATCCATTAATACAAGGTAAGCTTCGAATCATGAGTAAAATCAAACCAGGAATCAGGACAATCTTGCGAGATGAAAGAGCGATTATCATTTAATACTTTATCACCTTCTACTCAATTGAGCAGCAATATCAGTAAGTTTTCGTGCAATATGGACAGCTCGAATATCAAAGTAATAACAGGCTGCAATATACAAAAGGTCTCTGGCGCATCTAGTTAATATGTTTCTATGTGATCTACCAGTATTAATAACAGTAGCAGATGTCATATTATCACATTTTACAAGGATCCTATAAGACCTCGCCATTTATAGCCCCAAAGTTTTGCAGCGACTAAAACTGCCAGTAGCTCTAAAATACTATAGTGATTTCTAAGATATGAACTGGAAATTTCCTTGAAAAACAAAGGTTTTCACAATATCCGTTATATGTAGCTAGTAATTTCCTCCACCAGTTTAAATCTGCTGTAAAATCGACACATTTAGCAACAAATTATAACTTGCCTACCAAGCACTGGATTTCACACTTTGAAGCATAGTCTCTAGCAAGCCAATATCTATGTCCACTACACATGCTTGTTAGCGCTAAGGAGTGACCACTAAGGTCATCGAGTCAGTTTTAAACAATACACCTAAAATGGCATTTGCTGGGTCGGAAGAACAGATTCCTGAATACCAAGTTCTTTTAAAAAAAACCTTTATTGGTTAAACGTTTCGATCGCTTCAAATTTTGCACGCTCAGCTGAGGCGAAATCATCCATATAATTCACAAGCTCATGATTCAACTGATTGAACATAATAAGAAATGTCATTCCTAGTAGGCTACGTTGGCATACCATTGCAGCAGATACAAGTCCTAAAAGCATTTTTGTATCAAGATAATATCAATGATGTCCCAAAAGCAGTAATCGTAATTATCTACTAGTAGTTGCCTATAAGCGAGGCACAAGTCTAGTTTATATAAGTAATAACCATGGTCTCTGGTATGGATTAATTGAGATGACGTCTTCGGTTGGATACATTAGTGCGAATTGAATTCCTGGATAACTGTTTATGCCTATACCAAACTTTATAGAATGTTATAAAGAAAAACTTCAATCAAAACTCGTCGTTTTAAGGTATTAACACTATCTTTGTGAACTGTTTGAAGAGGTGAGGTCACTAGTCTATCGTTAAATGGCTTATCAATAAAAGAACCAGCTACAGCATTGTGAGATAACGCGGACGGGTGATTATCATAAATTGTTGAAGGCAAGTATTGATACGAAAAATTCAAAAGGCCATCCTAGGTTAAGAAATCGCACAACAGTTTTTTGGTAATTGGCCAGTTTTTCTTGACTAGCTGAAATAATGAAGTTTGTATTTACAAGTAATCTCACTCCTTCGAATCCTGAGGAAAAAACCTGGCAGTGAAAATTGATAACACAAGGATCAGGCTCGGAAACAGACAGTTCAGTATTCTTTACAGCAGTTTATGCTCAATGTGTAGCGCAAAGTGTTTAAGCTCGTGACTGCTAGGCTCATGATTATAAAACTCAAAGTCCGGCTCAATTAAATAACTTAGCTCACACTTATAATGCTTAAAGTTCTAAGAGCTCATTTGTAAATCTCTGTGCTCAAATTACTTTGTGCAAGTCAATTACAATAACTTCCATTATTTGATTTTGATTTCTCAGAGTTTTTTTTATTTGTATATTCATTCTTTGTACAAGCTAAACACCATGAATTTTGTGACTTTTCTAGGGATCAAATGCACAGATATTTCACTAGTATAGGCATGAGACCAGAAAACAGTATTGAAAAACACGTTGTATGAATACCCGGTGGTATAATTACCTTTTCTAAGTATTTATCTTTAAAGATTTTTTAGTGTCGAATTATGTCCTTATTGCATAAATTAAAACCAATCATAATTGCCCATGTATGTACAGTCTGGATAAACAAAAAAAAGTCATTAGAACACCTCTACTTTCTATTTATATAAGTATCAGCACTAAGGTAATCTATCTTTAATAATATTTCATTATAACTAATGACGATTCCTTCAAAGAAACATGATTTAAAAAAAATAGTGACTGGCAAAAAAAGATAAGTAAAACTTAAGATTGATATATTGCTAAAAGTCATTGAAACAACATAAGAATATGGCCCACTTTGTCTTCCATAGAATTTTTCTGCTGACACAGAATCCTCTAGTTTGTCACGTGACTTCGTTCACTGGAATATATTCTAGCAGACGACACTTGGAATTCTGATTAGAGCGTTTGATTATAAGGAAATTCGGTCGATAAAAATTCTGATATTTGGTAATAACTGAAATCCGGCATTTTGTATTATGTAAGAAATTAATAATTAATTTGACGTGGCTTTGAAACGACAAGAAAAATTATGCAGGTTGACGTTGTAGAGATAACCCATGTATATCAAAACATGCAAATGTCACTCGAGGTCGCGCATATGCCAAAATGCAAGCGTGTAACTTGAAAGTATTGCACATTGCTCATTAAAGATGTCAACCAACAAGCGTTTCAACTCGCTAAATGCCTATTAGCTTTAATAAGTACTCATTTTAATTTCAATAAGTTGACCTATTTATACTATAAGTCAAGTATATAACATACTCATTATCATAACTTTGCGCGTATTTAGTTTATTCAACCAACTTATTAGAGTAAGGTCTGACGTACTGACATTTGACGGAGAAACAATTGGAGGTAAGATTATATTTCAAAACGTTCTTTTACCCCTATTTCTATTTAATATGTGCTAGATTTATTGAAAACATTTCCTTATTCATGACCAAAATGGGCTAAATTTAGTGAATATGTGTCCCTATCCATGACCAAATTTGCTAGATTTATTAAAGATTACCAGTCAACTCGTCTACAAGACAACTCGACAACAAAAATTTTGTTGGTTATCTCGTCTACAAGAACTCGTTAAAAACAATATTTATATACAAGAACTTTACATAAAAAATCTTTTGCCTTATTCATGACCAAATGTACTAGATTAGGTCTTAAGTGATAGGGGCTTTTGTCCGGAGGGGCTTTTGTCCGTCTTCCGATTGCCTAACCTAATATATGTACTAAGTCAAGTATCTAACATCCTTATTGTATCTTAAATTTCCGCACCTTTAATTTATTAAACCAATATATGGTAAGGTTATATATTTGAAAACGTTCTTTTACCCCCTTTTTATACGCCCACATTATAATGGAATTTGAGTAATTGCCATTGACTTAGTAAACACTCATCAAAATTTGTTGGCGATATAGAGGTGACAGTTTATGTCAGAATTTTATTAAATAATGTGTCTTTGTTTAAATCAACAATATCTTGCACAAATTAGATTTTTGGTATGATTTGACACAGATAGGTGACTACCCTTGATATACTGAAAATGTATCAGGAAAGTGGGCGTATCTTGCTAGGCAACCACTTGTTTTAATTACCAAATGTATTTTGAAAGTAATCAGACTGGAGTGGAGGGAGGTGAGGGGACAAACCAAAGTTCCGTTTGTTTTTTGTCTTTGTCTTTAATCAGAAACTTTAATGATTTCTTTATCAAGGAAGAAAGATGAAGTTAATAATAGACGTGGATACTGGAGCGGATGATGCCATGGCTATACTTTTTGCAGTAGCTCAGTGTCATTCAGGAACGGAGATTCTGGCAATAACATGTGTGAATGGTAACATAGATTTAAATAACGTCAGTAGAAATACTCTCAGAACTTTGCAGTATGCAGATGCATTACACGTGAGTGGTTGGAAACATTTATCAATAGCACATTGAGTACAGTACAGTTAGTGAGTCGGCCAGATGTCGATTTGCAATCCATTCCACAAGTTGAATTGCCTTATAAGAACAGCTCAATGGTTCTTCATATTTTTTAAAAGTTATTCTCATACTGAAATGTATGTCCTTTGATATTGTCCTTGCTCAAAATTTCATAGTTCTGGATGATAACTTTAAAGAATGCAGTTAACCCAAATATTTTGCTTTTCAGATTCCTGTTTTCGAAGGTGCCTTCAAGCCGCTTCTTTCTCAAGGCAACACTGAGGATGCTAAGAATTATTTTGGAAACGACGGTATGGGGAATGCTGAGTGGACTGATCCTGTAGATACGGGGATGGTACAAAAAGAGAATGCCATACAGACTATGATAAGATTAACGAAGGGAAATCCTGGTGAGTGTAGCGAAATCTCTCTGTTGCTTTCGTCTTAAAACTGAAAGTAAACCGACTTAGTAGCAAATCAACAACGGCCAATCGTCAACGTATCCGAAATAATATTTTACTCATTACCGGTTTTTTACGTTTTTTTTTGTAAATATAATCACACGTACAATATTCTTTAATAATTTATTAGTGCTGGTTAAAAAGGTCGTTTCCATTGATTACATGTCATCTCCTAATACAAATCTATGTAAGGGGATTTGGTTTTAATGAGAGGGCTAACAAACCTCCACCTCTCAAATTGAAACAGCGACGATAATATTATGGATTATATGTACATGTATTTCTTGGATTATTCCATTTATTTTTCAGACCAACGTCAGGTCCATAATTTTCCGTTGTCCATTTCAGGGGAAATAACTCTAGTTACATTAGCTCCGTTAACCAATGTAGCTCTAGCTCTCCAATTAGATGAAACTTTCAGCTCCAATCTAAAAGAAGTGTTGATCATGGGAGGAAATATGGAAGGTTTGAATTTTTTCCCTAACGGCATGTAGACTGTCACTGGTGAAAACGATAAGGCAGAAAGAAAGCAATGACTCTAAATACACCTTGAACACTCGTATAGGCATCGTGTCCAAACCACGCCCCCATTCGTCATACTTAATAAGACCATGTCAAAACCCGTCTTCGTGATACAGCGCAAATCAACGTAGAGTAATATGACAGCCTCTTTGCGTCATCGTTAGAAAGATGCAGGTTCTATAATGTCACGCTTTGATTTTATTGGTTCAATAAAACGAGATTGCTTTTGATAACAAGTTAGATTACAACGGAGACGAAAATTACCAGAAATTGTAATATAATTTTAATGAGATTGCACCCAATTTTTACTTATATGCCATATTATAATTATAATTTCTGATGAATGGATGGTCTTTTTATTACAGGTAAAGGTAATGTCAGTTTTTCAGCAGAGTTTAATTTTCACGTGGATCCTGAAGCCGCTGCTATTGTTTTACAAGATCTGAAATGTCCTGTTACCATGGTAACGTGGGAAGCTTGTCTGAATGCTTCGATATCTTGGGTAAGTGTACTGAATAAGCCTTTTGTCCTCATCTCGTAATTCAATCTGTAATTCTCTGAGATTTGTTCCAAGAGAAAGTCGAATGTGTTTTTTTTCTAGAAGACTGTGTATCATCTATATATCGGAACCTGTCAATATAGTTTCATATTTCCATGGACTAAAAATAACTTCATAAGTGGCAATTATCAACCACAATCCTTTGGTCTTTTTGTGATTGTGCAAGATGCGAGTCCAGATAAATCACAGTCGAAGCTAGAAGAAGACTTTTTCACCATTTTTACCTGATTCACCTCGTTAAGACTATTTTTCTGTGATATTAATTTCAGAGCATTATGGATGAATTGATTGTGTCATCATCATCAAAAAACATGGAATTCTTCAAGAAAGTTTCTTCTAACGAATTTAAACATAGAGATAAGTGGGCTAAATTGGGTCTTGATGACTTCCGGTCATGTGATTGGATCGCAATGATGGTATTATTTGACAGCTCTGTCTGTTTGGAGTATAAAGAAGTCTATGCAAGCGTCGAGACACAAGGAAGATTAACTCGTGGTAGTGTAGTGATAGATTGGCTGAATTTACAGAGTGAGAAACCAAACGTACGACTCGCAATGAAACTTAATAAGGAAAAAATCTTCCAAATTATGAAGGAATTTCTGAGCTAACAATGCTATTTGTTTTGTCAAGTATATCAGTTTAGACACAGTAGACAATTTTCAGACTGTCATCATCAATTTCAAAGCGATTTGAAGCATCTTCAAATTACATATGAAATAACACGACAGACGTAGATACCAAAATCAGAAAATAAACTTCGATGACAGCCATTTAAAGGAATATTATGTCTGGAATGAACAATTAAACTAGGCCATTAGAGCATAATATATTCATCAGTAGATATACCTGGTGTCATAAATAATATCACAGGATCCTTATATAATCCGATAAATCCAAAAAACATGTAATTATCCATAAATATGCAATTAACTATTAATATTAAGATTGAGCATTTTTTGATTACTTAGTTTTATGAATTTCCAATTTTCCAGATTTTCGAGGGATTCTGTTGTAACTTTATGACACCAGGTAAGTTCACTGATGAATATATAGGGCTACTCATAGTGACCATTCTTGAGAACTTGAAGGACATTCAAAGACCTAGTATCACTTTAAGATAAAACCGAACAATACCTCAAACGGGAATGCAAAATCTGAGAGGGAATAGATTTTCTAAGACTACTAGGAATTAACGGGATCTGGGAGAACTTGATCAATCGATGGATTCATTCGACTTGAGCATATAAACGACTAACAAGTTGGCGATTACTCAAGTTGCCATAAATAATTAATCGTTTTCTTCTTTGTAGTAAAATTTGATTTGGTATGACCGAAACGCTCAAGTCGATTGAAATGATTCCGATAAGATACTCTCAATAACCAGTCGACCATCTATAGTTGTAGTCCGATATATATATCTTACTGAGATAAAACTTCAAGTCGTTTTTCATATCTTGGAATTTTGTACATTACTTTGAATAGCCTGTTAATAAACGATTTACTGCCGATATTTTTTGTATTACTATTGGTCCTCAACTTCTTTTAATACTCTCTCATCTATATCCAATAGCCTTCAACTGTAACCTATATTTGTGCATATGCGGATTCAAAAATGTTGTCAAAATTAAAAAATGGAACTTTAATTCAAATCGGTTTGTTTCGATTTTTCTTTAGCAATCCTTCAATTTGACCCATATTTCATGAGGAACCAACTCGACAACGGCCACAAAATGCGTCCCCTATTTTCGTGTACAATGTTTGATCTATAAATAAGTCGAGAAAAAAAAACGTTGTATGGATACCCAGTGAGTATGGATAGAAAATTCTTAGTATTTTTCTTTAATACCAAGTCATTATAACTAGTGACAATTCCTTCAAAGAATCACGATTTAAAAAAGATTAGTGACTGTCAAAAAAAGACAAGTAAAACGAGTCTTTTATTGATAAAATTCATTGAAACATAAGGACACATTGTGTTCAATAGAATTTTCTGCTGACATGGAATCCGCTAGTTTGTCACTGGAATATATTAAAGCAGGCGGCGCTTTGAATTCCGGTTATGGCTTGGGATAATAAGGAAATTCGGCTGATAAAACCTGTGATACTTGGACTCACTCCACTAATTCATTTGCCATCTCTTCAACCTTCTACAACTTTTTCCAGAAATCTCGTTGAAAGCTTTCCAATATGTCGAATGAAAGCCTGACCAATCTTTAATGTCTCCTCAAAAATTAAATACTACCAGTTATACTCATCCGTTAGAGTTTTGCAGTTCACAAAACGACTATTTTTAGAATTATCCTTCCGCCTCTCATTAACTCACCAAATCTTAATATAATGCAATTTCAGACATTTTGTATATGTTAGAAAAAGATAATAAATTTGATATTGCTTTGAAACGATTGGCGAATTTTGCAGGTTGACGCTATAAATGTAACGAATGTTTATCAAAACATGCAAATACGGAGGTCACGCGAGGTCGTTCATGTAAATTTTTTTAACATTTCCTGAGATACACGAAATTAAAGTTTAAACCGCCATTAGAAACAGATAATAAATTTGACATTGCTTTGAAACGATTTCAAGAACGATTCTGCAGGTTGACGTTGTTAAGAGGTCACGCGAGGTCGCACATTTAAATTATTTATCATTTCTCGACACGAAACTAGGTTGACTTGACTGTAGACGTACTACTCAAATCTTTCAGAGAGTATTTATCCGCATGGCGTAATCAGCTAGGTAGGATAAAACGAAGAAGGCCTAACTAGCCAACAATTTATTCCAGTACATGTTTAGTACGCTATAGGTTCTCATTAATATTAGCATTGGGGAAACTAAGGAGTGTTTTGGTTCACCTACACTTAATTTTCTCCACAATTTAAAGGTAAATATTGGTTCTTGAAAAGTAATATAAAGTAGACGCATTAATTTTGGCGGGTACTTTTTAACGTGTTTGCAGGTTCGTTTTGTTCAACACACAAGATTAAACCAAATTTTCTTCTATTTCTGTGATTTTTTGAACTGAACCCGTTTTGTTATTTCATAAAACAAAAAGTAAACAATTTGAAATACATAGTTGGATTGATGCTACATTTTAAAATAGTCTATAGAACGCAAGGAAATAAATAGAAAACTCGGAAAAAAATTGCTTCAAAATGACTCTATATGTCGCACATGTAAATTCAAATTTTCCAATGAAAATATTTCATCTACCCAGAGACAACCTAAGAATTAAGATTCAAATTCACTTGAAAATAATTGGAAGCGAGTGATTCAGAAAATTTATCCCATATTTGATTTAAAGGTACAGATTTGCCACTCAATTTGACCAATAAAGAGTGCTTTTGTCTCAGAAACGAGCTCTTTTTAGCTTAGCTAATCAATATGAGTGATCACCCTCGAAATGAGAGCTATTTTTATGCGCGTGAGCAGCATGTTTCGAATTAACCGCGCTTAAAAGTGAGAACTCATGTTTCCTTGCGAGTCTGCCATATTTTGAAAATATATACCGGTATAAGCTTATAGATGCAGAAAGTGTAATTCCTAGTTTGGAGAATTTGTGATGGAATTTCGTACATTTCAAGTTGCTCTGAGGATTATTTACATATATTCGAATCTGTCATTACCTAGTGGATAATCTTAAAGCTTTATTCAAGTTAAACGTTTTATAAGATAGCCTACTTTATATATAAATTATTCTGCTGTATTTCAAAAGGTAAGTTATTTGTAGTAATCAGGTAATTCTACTTATGATTATATACTCTTATTTACCAAGAATTTAAGCTTTATGAACATTTTAAGAGGAAGATAATTCTAGTTTTTTAATTCGGCCCAGACAATACACAAAATCTATACTATAGTATCATTTCATTTCATCCGAGCTGCAGATCTGGGTAACATACGCCTACATAATGGCAAAACAACCTACTGTTAATGTTCTGCTATCGGTCAGTAACAGATTCAGCGGCAGTGGCCAATTACCACTGGCGTGGTAAGCGTGGTAAATAGTCATAAGTACCCTTACAGCTATATACCACGGCGTGGTAACCGTGAACGGCATAATTGCATTTGGTGCATACGAGCCTTTAATGAAATAATATTTTGTAGATATAAAATGAAGAAGTTGATAATAGATGTTGATACAGGAGTAGATGATGCTATGGCTTTATTACATTGTATTGGACAGTCTAAAGCGGGAACGGAGGTTCTAGCAATCACTTGTGTTAATGGTAATGTGGGACTTGACCGTGTTCTTAGAAATACGTTGAGGACGTTACAGTATGCAGATAAATCAAACGTGAGTGTTACTAAAGATGGTTTATGTCACGATTCGGTTATTCATATGACTTGACCTCGGTACTTACTTATGCACTTCGCTGTTCCCGTAGACAACATTTCACTCGAGTCTTAAGTCCTGGGCTGCCCTCGCTAGTTGTTTCCAGGTGTGCCATCTTTTACTGTAAGCTTCAAGGTCGATCCCATGGCCACGTTCCCTGTTTAAAAATTTGAAGACACTAACCACTGAGAATAAATATCTTAGTCATCCTGGTTTCTTTTTCAATTGAGTATGCTATATTTTACCTTTCTAACAGGGACTTTATATTTTTAAACGTACCAATGATCCTTACTTTTTCATATTAGATACCTGTTTACAGAGGTGCTGTTAAACCGCTGATTCCTTGGAAAACTGAAGGTGCCACGCATTTCCACGGTAATGATGGTTTAGGTGATGCAAAATGGGATACACCAGATGACATCAGTTTGATCCAATCAGAACACGCCGTTCATGCTCTTATCCGATTGGTTAAAGAACACCCTGGTAATGTTCAGATTTTTTAAATGTACATGCACATAAATACAAACTTGTCTATTAATTAAGATGGTTAAACAGATCATACAACTGCTAGAATCTGAGAGCAACTTAACGGACTCCAAGCATCTGGTGGCATCTGAGAGATATAATTATTTGATGAAAAATCCAAGGTACCACACCACCATTTATTCATTATCTGTTGGTCGATGGGAGGTTTTCGTTGACCAGAATCCAGTTGATTTATGTGTGCAACTGTATTCGATTGTACTATTATGAGGCAAATGTACACTTAGTGTGTTTATAATAGCTAGTAAAATTCCTAGTTTCAAGTATTTTTCGTACATTTCCAGTACATCTGAGACCATTTACATATATTCAAGACTCAAATCATCCCCCAAAATGGCTCACTTGTCCCTTTAATGAAATACATTTTGATAATTACTTTTGAATTTTTAGGGGAAATAACTCTAGTTACTTTAGCTCCGTTAACCAATATAGCTCTAGCTCTTCAATTAGATGAAACTTTTAGCTCCAATCTAAAAGAAGTAATGATCATGGGAGGAAATATCGAAGGTTTGTAACTTCATACCTACTCTCCTGTAGAAAGACCCTTGTGAATCATTTTTGGATTCGGTGAACCGCATGTGTTCAAAACTTAGTTTTTTGGGTTTGGGCTTGGGCCTCCTCTTGTCCCGGAGTGGAAGTGGCGTCCAACGTCGTTATGAAGGAACGAAGTTGAATTTTGGGTTTGGTGTTGCTTTCTATGAAAAAAATGCATGTAGTTAAGCTCTTCTTCATCATGTTTGTCTGTTTTAGGGAAGGGCAACGTTAGTTTATCAGCAGAGTTTAATTTTCATGTTGATCCTGAAGCCGCCGCTATTGTTTTACAAGATTTGAAATGTCCTGTTACCATGGTAACATGGGAAACATGTATTCATTCTACAATTTCTGAGGTATATTTCTTAAATTGTCTTTAACCTTGCGATGCCATTATAAGTACATGTATATGTTTACCAAGATATCTCACAGTAGTACGTAAATCTTTTATTGAGAAGAGCTCTTATGATATAGCTTGCACTTTGTTTATGACTTAGAACATGCTTTTGCATAACAATTTTGTCAGATGATTAAGGGTGAATGGAATCAAAGAATACGACATGAAACATCTACAGTGTTGTTGAAATATATACCGGAATGTAGAATATTGGCTTCTACATTGTCCAGAAGCACGAGTATACAAAAACATATTTACAACGCAAGTGAACTATTTTCAATCATTTTCAGGAAGACTATGAAAAACTGTTACTTATCCAGACACCAAGGGCAGAATTCTTCAGAAAAATTTCAGATAATCGACAACATCTGATTTCCAGCAAAAAGAAATTAAACCCTGGTTTTAGGAGTTGTGATTGGTTTGCTGCCATGGTTCTGTTTGATGAAAGCCTGTGTCTGGAATATATCAGTGCTCATGCCAGTGTGGAATTACAAGGGAGGTTCACACGGGGACAGATGGTAGTAGACTGGCTTGGGCGATGGAGTGACATGCCGAATGTAAAAATTGCAATGCGGTTAGATCGTGCAAGACTCTTAACCACCATGCGCGATTTTTTGAGTCAAGAATAATTTGTAGATGAAATATAAGATCCTAAAGCAAATATGCAGCCTTTCTCTCAAAACTAGTTTTAAAATAGATTCCAAAGATTCCAATGTACGATTCTCGCATTGTGTTCTTTTTAATTTCTGACACCATCATTCAAAACTAAGTTGATTAACTTGATTAAAATGCTGATGTTTCGGGGTTTTTCTGAAGGTTAATACATCTACCATCCACAATCTCACGAGATTGTTTTTAAATTTTGTTTTGTGGAATTTGCACACAATGGTATTAGTCTGAATTTCAAACGCAAAAACCACTATATATAACATGTTCTGAGCTTCAAGAATAGTTCTGACACCATAAAGCTACATAGTTAAATACAATATTTTATTGAAAGATATTTTTCACAACAAAGCAACAAAAAAACACGCATCAATAAAATACAGGTGGTAACATTTCTTTGTGAAACTGGAAGTTATGTTTTCGTGTCACAAAGTTTTGTATTTGAATATGATATGTATTTTTCAAACATGCGTATCCGCAGACCTTCAGTGCAAATTTTCATTTTTCGGTCTCTTTTGGGTATGGCTGGATCAATTGACAGCATTTAGACACCAAATGGAGAAAAAAGTGGAAATGAAAATCTTCTTAATTTGTGAAAATGATCTGTACTTAGGTTGCTGGAAACAGTTTCTTGTGGTGCATGTAGTTATTGTTCTCTGAAAAATATAAGCCAAAATGTAAAAATGGGCAGATTTTACTCGCAAAGGTGCCCAGTCATATGTCTACACATAAAGATAGACGCCGCGGTGGCTCAGTGAGTTAGACGTTTGCTCGCTAACCTGAAGGTCCAGAGTCAAGGTCCGGCATAGGTCGAGATAATACCTTCGGATATTTCAACCTGGTTTCCGCCTGTCAGTGATGCACGTAAGAGGGGCTAGTCGTTCGGATTGGACAATAAAACGAGTGCCCGTGTGCCACAGGCTGTGCGCGTTGAAGATCCATCGACAGTTGAAAATCGAAAAAGAGCAGGCTAAAGGTGGGAATAGACGATGTGTGGTGTGATGTACGGTGCGGAGTGATCGATGCAGTAGAAAATATTAGAAGCGAATCGTGCCCGGACCCGTACCTCGTGTGTTCACTTCTTCTATTTTCGTTTGTATCGATTATCCAGTACCATATACCGCACCGGACATCGTGCATCGTCTATTCTCAACTTAATACAGCTGTCCTGGCTAAATTTCCCTCATTGTATCCTTGCCTGTCTTCATCAGCCCACATGGTGCAGAAAAGTAGGACGTAAAACTCCATTCATTTCATTTTTTACAGCTAAAAATAATCGTGTTCAGTTCAATTCAATTCAAAGCTGACAGATTGTGATACGATAGCAATGAGGAAACATTAATCTCAAGTAATATCGAACGGATTTCACTCCAGTGTCAGCCAACTATCTTGATAAGATGTTCGTACTATAGTAGATAACTGTAGCAAAATATGTTTTTAGGTATCCGTTTTTGAAGATAAGGTCCTTTTGTTTTTGAATATGTGTCGACTAGTTTTCATGATCCTACAGAACGCCATACTTTTGTTTTCATTGTGGCAGTGAGTACTCTTTGTTCCCTTTCTTCGCGGCTTTGTCTTCATCCTATGCTTATTGTCTTTTTGGGAACGGTATAGGAGTCAGAACAGTTCTAATTTCATTTTAATCGGGAATTTAGCAATGTACCACCATTACCAACATTCGCAACCAATCACCATAAAATGAGAACCTTTAATGATATTAACGGTAATGAATTAAAGTTAATAAATTAATTGAATTAAATGAATGAAGTAAGAATCCGTTGACCGAGAAACTTTGAATCTATACCTCATATTGTCTGGTGTACTATGCAAGGGTTTCGTTTTTTTCTGTAAGATATCACGTCTTTCTCGGACTAAAAAGCTGCCAAGAAATGAAAAGTCCCAGAATCACAATGAATATGGCAAAATTTAATATGGAATAAAATTTAACAGTAATGTGTTATAAGCCAGTTAGTATCTAGTCTTATCCTACAAAAAAGGTTGTTACGAAAAATCCACAGGTAAACGAGAATTGAAGGACTGTGGAAAAGACAATCACCAAGGTACCTTGAGGAACAACCAACCTTAGCCAAAACTTTATAGAAATTGTGGACATTGTCGATACTAGGGTCACACATGGGACAGCATTCAATAAAACCAAATACTATACTACATATTTTCTATTCTATATATCTTCTACCAGATGTTGTCGAGAAGCGGTAATTACCGGTATTGGCCTTAGGCGTGATCTGAAAGGCCAGATGCTTCACTAGATGATTTATTTGTGGTCTGTCGACGAATGGTGGTTCGTTAACGTCTGTTTCCGGTTGGTTCGGCAGCTATACCGTTTTGATGAAATCGTGAGTTGAACGATCTTGGGTTCGAATTTATGGATTTCTTTATCGTCACTTTTGGTGATATTAAACCATTGGCAATTTTTATGTGCTTGTAACTACCCTGTCTGAATGTCTCTGGAGACTGATGTGAAGGTTGTTCCCATATACGGTGTGCAATATAAGTCTTACCAGTAGTCCATAGTTGCCTTCTGTGTAATTCGCCATTTGGAGAACTGTGCCCTCCAAATCTGCTATCGACAAATTTCGCCCCTACACCGACTGCGCTTTGGCTGGAAGCTGGAATTTGTTTAATGTTAAAGAATGTTAGAAATGAATGGGTGCAATAAAGTATAAAAGCAGGTGGTATTAGTATTATGCAATAATTTGGCATTTGCTGAATTTGGAAGTTTAGGTTAGAATGATCTGGATGTATCTGCTAATGCTTCATTTCGAAAATTAAAATTTGAAGTCTTATGAAGCTGATGTGACGCCAAAAACGTCTGACAATTCGTCCTAAACTTCCGGTTAGTGTCAGCGGATGCTTAGTTAATAGTTTGTGATTAAATATGTATTTCAGAATTTCCATTACCTGCTATTTTTACTTAGTCTGAAATAAGAAAAGAAAACTATTTTATAATATCATTGATACAGAAGTTATATAATAATGACCACTTACTATCAATGTGGTCAAGTGAATATCTTGCCATTGGTACTACAGCTGCTCTCCTACTTCCTGTAAATTACATATATCTAAGTCATAATAAAGGACTCGAAATCAACGCTAAGATTACGGAAAATATACATTAGTCCTTTTCCTGGGTATTATCTTCCTCAGGCAACCTTTTCCAACTATTTCAATGCCATTAAGTTTGTCAACTCTCATCACTTTGGGAAAAATTCAATGCTAATATCTACATATATATTTGGGCAGTTTTATAACTGATTGTTTGATTAAGGTGTGGTGTTACAATTGATAATGAATTAAATTGTAATAGAATCAATCAATAGTATCATTCAACCAATGATCAAATACATTATATATCTGTCAATTATACATTATTGTTGGTAAATATCGGTCACGTATACTTTATTGTTAGTAAAAATCGGTCAATTATTGTTAGCAAATATCGATCAATTATACTTTATTGTTGATATATCTGTCAATTATACATTATTGTTAGCTGTCAATTATACATTATTGTCAGTTGTCAACTTTATATTATTGTTAGCTGTCAATTATACATTATTTTTGGTAAATATTGGTCAATTATACATCATTGTCAATATATATCTTTGTACTATCTGTGGCTGTTGAATAATTCTCGCTCTTCCACAAGAAGTGGACTGAAAAGAACTGCATAAAATTTGACTTACGAATGTGATGATCATGATGATGATCATGGCCCAGTCTTGATCTGAGACCAAATCGTCTTCTGCCAAAAATGCCTATATTGTTTAAGTTATTGTAGTTGTTGTATCCGTAAGGATAACCACCGAATCCCATGGGATTGTAGGCTCCAATGGGATTGTAGCCTCCAATGGGATTGTACCCTCCAATGGGATTGTAGCCTCCAATGGGATTGTAGCCTCCAATTAAAGGTGCACCGCCACTAACTGAAAAAATGAACTGGGTTTTATGTCTTGTATTTTGCATCAACATACGTTTCAAATATACTTATATCCCTTGGAAGATTATTGTGTGTTGTGGTGCGAAAAAAAAGCATCGTTGGAATTCTGGATAAACTCATGTCTAATCCTTAAATTTTAAAAACGCTAAATAAAATAAAATGGAGTTGTACGTCTTACTTTTCTGCACATTATGTGTTCATGAAGATGGGTAACGCCACGTAGTGTGCAATGAGGGAATTTTTCCAGGACAGCGGTCTTAGCCTACACTTTTTGATTTCAAATTGCCGAGGGATCTTTAACCACAGACTGTAGCACAAAGTTTTATTTCCCCATCGGAACGACAAGAATTTTTTTTTCTATTCACTGACATGAGGAAAATGTCTTACCTGGAACGTGGTCGCGTTGCACGTTAACTCTTCCAAATCTATCGACAACTGAAATACAACATACTTTTATATAGCGAAACTCAATTTTATGGTTTTTTTTGTACACAACTCAGAAGTAGAACCTGATCCTGACCCCTATTCATGTTACTCCATTGCCCCTCCGGATATATAACTTGCCCCTCCGAACAATTGGGTTTGGCTATAACGGACCTGCATTGGTTGGATTATTATATTTTCTTCTGGCATATATAACTGGAAAACAGAGATGCGACCAATTTTCGAGGTGTCTAATTCGTGCTGGACTAATCGATCGGGGATAGTTTTCGCTGCAAATGACAGGACTAATTCGTTTGAGTATTTTACTTCACAGATTTCCACAAGTCACATATTATATTATAAAGTTATCAGAATGATCGTTATGTATATGACGATATATAACTACTTCTCTAGAAAAAACGAATGAATGAATTGTTTACCATGTGTGTTGACGTGAGCATCAATATGGTCTCCATGTCGTGAATACCCTGAAAAACAATCAATGTTTCAATCTGCATTGTTCATTAGTATTGTTAATTTGACATGGATTTCTGTCTATTTTCCAGAAAAAAAAATTTTCATTATGGCATAGGAGGAAGTTTGTGGAAAAATTGCGGGAGTATAGCCGGTATTTATCAGGCACAAAACTTCAGACGTTTCCATTTCCTAAAATTTTGTCAATGATGTCATAGAAGTGTTATTACCATTATAACACTTCTGCAGTATAACTAAGACATTCTTACTGTTCCTGAAATCGATCCATGCGCATTTATTTTGATGATGCTTTGAAATCAGAACCATGCCAAAGGCATTAGGTCACATACCTTACCTGTTACTTGTTGTCGTCCGTGAAGAAATGGTGAATGACCAACACTGGGTCCGTGATATATTGCGGCCTGGGCTACATATGCTACACAAAGGAGGGTAATAAAAGACAGCATCTGAAAGTAAGAAGTGTACGATTAGCTGACTATCCTGCCTTAAGAAACGTTCAAGAAGAAACCAAGGGAAACATATAGGAAATGTGTTTTCAGGCAGCATTAAAAAACTATGGGGCCATGTTTCTTTACCAACGTTGTACGTTTATTACATTTAATGTCGCACATCGTTGCTGAAGGAACATGGTAATGGGCTAAACAATGGTATTTCCACGCATTGTGACAAAAATTGGTCTTCTGTCCACTCAAAAATTTAATGTGATTGATAGCAAATTTTGTTCCGTACTTCCTTCATCTTTAACTCTAGCAGCAATATTCCAATGGAAAACAAATGTAAAATGGTCAATAAGTCGGATAAGAAATTTGTAACAATAAATAGAGATTGTCCTACCTTGATGGTTACAAGCAGATAAATAAAGTTTTACAGATGTACCTTATTTATAACAATAGTACTATGACGTGAGTTCATCCCCAACTGTGACAGATGAACAAAATGGTCACTCAATCATAATATGACACCAAGTTTTGTCTAATAAAAGTATTTATAATGTCAATTAAGGGTTTCCTAGCCCCAGGGTTAGCCGTAGTAAGTAATATCTCGAATATAAGACATAATTGTATTGTATTACAGCTACTATTATTCAATTGTAGTATACAAAAATGATTGAAAACATAATAAAAACACAAAATATAATCAACATCCTATACACCCTCTGAATGTTCCACATTATTCAAATTTTACATAAAGTTTTTGATGTTTGTAAATAATGTATTTTATCTTTATATCACATGTTTTTTGTCGTTTGTAAGTACAATAAGTTCCACGATTTTCAGTCAATGATAACAAATTTGAAGAAAATTTTATTATTTTATATTTCAAAATGAATAGGAGATATCTCTTAATTTTGTCTCCTAAAAAAATATATAATGAAAAATCGTACTTAACAATCTCATTAGTAATTATCCATCATTTATTGACATTATTGGCGAATAATTGACCCTTGTCATGAAATTTGATTAATAAAAAAGTTGATACTTCTTCATCCAATTGAGGGAGCTCTTGTCTTATTTTTGTATTTGATTTTTTCATTGATTGAATTGGCTATATACATAAAATTTTTGTTTTATACTTGACATTTTGGGTATGCCTCGGAAAATCTGTTTGAGGATCACAATGGACGTTTTTTCTGTTACTGTAAGTTTGAATTAAAATCTTTTGATATTTAGAATATCAAATCGACAACTAAATGCCTAGAGTTTATTTCTAATGTGAGATACATATTTCTCTTGATTTTAGTGTTGTTAATATCTACTTAAACGTAAACAATTTATACAATAAATGATAATCAGTTACAAGGAAAGGTCTTCATTTGTAACCTAACATATGTTTCATGAACAGCGCATATGCATTAGATAACACCTTCCTTTCATAACATATCCCAGAACCTATAAATTACAACAAACACGTCAGGGTTACGCACGTACATACGTCGTCTGGAGCACATTACCAATTATACAATGCGACTACTGTTTGAATGTCGTATAAAATATCCTAGACTGACCAGAAAAACCTCTTACATCAGTTAGACTTCTTCACTGGACACGATGAAAACCTAGCTTGTATATCGGATTAAAGATAGCATTCAATTTAAATTGGTGAGTTAATACGAAGATCGATTTAATTTTCCAGGCTTGTGTCGACGCTTACACCAAGTACCTAAAATTCAAGTCTATTTTATAGATTTCTCTAACTTTGACGTGTTATGACAATGAAATTGTTTGAAAGAAATCAGTCCCATCTAGTGACCTAAAAATAACTGAAATTTACCGACCGCTGTTAAAGAAACATACTACAACGCCTATGTTCGAATTCGGAATATTGATTACGAATAGCTCAAATATTCTGTTATTTATTTCTATATATATATATATATATACATACATATACATACATATTGTTTCCGGTGAGAATCTTTCAGACATTGTCTAATATCGGTAATATCTTTAAATGCTGGTTATAATTCGCTATGTATCTACATTACATTTATTGTCGTCGCCCATGTCCGTCGGTCCACATATGGCTTGTGAACACAATGGAGGTTACAGCTTTTATCTGATTTTAATGAAATTTGGTGTGATCATTATGCATGAGATCTTGGTCAAGTTCGAATTTGAAGATATTTCGATGAAAGGTTTTTGAGTTATTGCCCTTGACTTAGGAAAAATGCGTAAAACTTTGTGAACACATTAGAGACTACAGTTTTCATCTGATTTAAATGAAATTTGGCGTGACCATTTATTATGATGAGATCTTGGACATGTTCAAATTTGATGATTTTTTGATCAACGGAAGTTGAGTTGATGCCCCTTGACTTAATAAAAACGCATCAAAATTTGTTAGCTTGTGAACGCGATATAATAGAGGTGACAGTTAATGTCAGAATGTTTTTAAATTTTCTGTTTGTTTAAATGAACAATATCTTGCACGATTTTTTGTACGATTTGACGCAGATTGGTGACAGCCGTTGATATACTGAAAATGTAACAGGGATGTGGGCGTATCTAGACAACCACTTGGCTTCTCTTATTCTTGATATGACATTATTATATGTCATATGTCATTTTATTTCATATGCTGTTACTGTTTTAATTTCCAACCTCGATCAAAAAATTTCGGAAAAATAAATTACTGTAAAATAACTAGTTACTAATAACTAATAACAAAGTCTTCACAAGGTCTTCATCATACATCAAAATATTATTTTACAACAAACATTTATGTCTGTTGTGAATACAGTGATAGCTTAAACTGTCGCCTTAAAAGATAATAATAATACGTATGTATGAATTATATACAGATACCATTGTTCAATTGTAATTGATTAGTCACGAACTTTGGGGTATTTTAGACAATGTCTTGTATTACAGAATTAGATGAACGGCCGATCATTATACAGACAAAATGAAGCCTGCTATCTTGATAACGGTTATTTCCAGCTTTGTAGCCACTACTATAGGTAAGCATGCTTTCACTATTTTATTTCATATAATTTGAGTTTTTTTGAAGGTTTTTCAAATAAAGACTCCTGGTTCAAGTGTCCTCAATTCAGTTGGAATCTGGCTCGTGATGCTTACAGGGGCATAAACAAATTAACGAAAAAGCCCCCTTGAGTTTCCCATTTTTAACCTTACTTTGATGAAGGATTTTTGTGTGTAAACACGAGTGGAAAACGGAGATAGCATATATATTAAGCGAATAAAGAAAATGATACAATGATTTCTTTAAATAATATCAATTTTTCAAAAAATAGCTTTAACAATAATATTGATTACTAGAAATTTATGAAATGAAAGACAAGTTATGGACTACGTCACAATTTTCCAAAATTAGATTTACAATATTGTGAAGCACCCATCAGAAGTAAAAAACTGATTTGAATGTATAATCATTACTTTTTTAAAGATACATTTACTTTTGTCGCTCATATAGATTAGTCTTCATTTACTTTTTCAGGAAGAAGTATTTACATTTCTGGACCAAGTTTGGATTTACAACCCAGATCGACTGCATTTTTAGAAACATCTCTATTTGATAGACATATAATTTCACCAAGTGCTCCTGGTGTAGTTCCTTATCGCATACCACTGAGAATATCAGCCACACCACGATATATACAAAGGCCAATTGGACTGGCTCCTCAGTCAACTTTTAATGCTTTGCAAAGACCACCATTTTATCCCCATGACCACCACGCATTTCCATCACGACGTCGACTGGATCATTCTCATTCTCATGATTTCTTTGGAAGCGGGAGAAGACACAGGCATACGCTACATTCCGAAAGGAAAGACAGAATGGAGAGCAGTAGAAGACGAAGACGACTACGAAGATTGATACAGAGACACAGAGAAGCTGAAGAGAAAGCCGCTCTGCGAGGGTAAAAATTTGGTCGGTTCTTTGCAATAATATACAGTAAAATGGTTGTGGATTCACAAAAACAATTTAACAAGTAGTGTCTTATTAGGTTTAAATATGTCAGAAAGGATCTTGACTGAATTAAGATTCACGCGGATGCCAATGACCAAAAACAAACCTCAAAACAGAAACATACCAGACAGTTAATCTCGGTGTTCTTGAAACACATAATATGAGACATTGAAAGAAATGACCAGTAAGAGAACAGTGAAACCGAAAGCGAAAATCTTGTCTAGTATTATTTGATTATCTATATACAATGTGAATATAGAATATTGGATGTCCAGGAAAGGATCAAACAAGACCTATCAATCAATAAAAACTAAGCCTGTCTGACCTTCATGTAGCAGGTCTCACATTGGCTAATATTTAGGGAAAGTTTCCGCCATTATTGACGTATATACAGAGAAGGAAATGATCGTGTCTTTATTTTTGATATAAGATATTTATTGTTATGTATTTGAAATGATAATAAATGTTTAATTTTACTCGATTGCTTGATTGATACTGATTGATGAATCGAATTTATATATTTATTAGTGTGGTTTTTATTGCTTTTTATGATATTATAACTAGAAGAGAACAGAATTGTGGTGTGCTCGTCCCTTCTGTAAGAAACTAGACATAGCTGTTCTCTGATGTCCAAACGAAGAGTTTTAACCGTTCTTCTTTAATAAGATAATACTTCAAAGTGCAAAGCTTCATTCCCTTACCAAACTATTTTTGCTATTTCTATAAATAAGGAAATATATTCAACAGTGGCTAAACTACTAAAGTCCACGGTCCCAATCGGGTGGGTCCCACCTCAAGAAGAAACTGCAGGAGAATATAGGGCCTATGTTAAAAATGAATTTTCCGTGGGGAGGTCCCAACTCACTTTAGTCCGCTGCCCTCACTTATCTTGTTGAGCCACTGATATATCGTTTGTTATTGAGCGGATTGGGTGCGTCAGATTTTGTCGTCTTTGTAGGAGTATATATAATTGTAGTTAGGTGCATCCGTCATCGGTAAATGATTGGAACAATTTAAAAACTGACTGATTGCAAGAAACCAACTTTGAATGAAACGCGCCCAAACGATCCAGAAGACTGGCACAGTGGCGCCTTCGGTGGTCAAGAGGTATTTTATTGTGACATGGTTGTGCAATGCAGAGTTCTGTGGCTTTTTGGTTTGGTTACGTGGCAAAATCAATGTTTTAGAATTTCCCCACCAGTTACAGTTAATATATCTAGATGACCTCGACAGTACCATCGTTGCGAGATACTTTATCTAAGGTTCAAGTATAAGGTCACCCAAGTTGAAATTAGGTCATAGTAAAATTATCATATTATAGTTGTCTATTTGAATATAAACATGAGATAGAAAACTAATTTGTTATCTTCGCAAAGATGACTGTCTTTATCTGATGGTCCAAATTCCATTTCAAAAGTATACACACACATATTCAAATTTAAGTAGGACTACAGACGACAACGATTCGGGTATTATTTTCATTACAATCGAATATACCCCTGCTTCAAGAGGCAAGAAATGCCAGTTGTTCAATGACTTTCATAGCCATAAACTATTTTAAATGCCAAGCTACCATAGCACAAAATGTAATCTGCCTTTCATACAAGTCGCTCGTTTGAAAAACCTTCCATATCTCTCCTGTTATCTTTACATAATAGTTCATAAGATCATTCGACTGCAGACGACAATATGGCGGCTTTAAACGGAACGTGGAAACTTCTTAGCGTGGAGAATTTCGAGGAATATTTAGGGGCGATAAGTAAGTAAATGTGCATAATACAATATGATTTTTTTTACCCTTATTGCAAATTATAAGTTGAGGAGGGGGGGGGGGGGGATGTATTGTAGTATGCTACCTTTACTAAACAGTAGAAAGACAACTCGCTTATTGGCCTTATCAATGTTGGAAGCACATGTTGCATTCTTCCACGCTATCCACCCTGTAATCCGAATCACTTATAGCAATGAGTCGATCGTGCTTAGAATGGTACCCTGTATCATGTCCGTGCGCATGTTATACTGTCACAGAAGTTCCTTTCAAGTTCAAGTCCTTTGAGGTAAAGATATTCTTTCTTACAAAAATTTGCCAAGTAACTATAGTGAAATATGTTAGAGCAGTATCTGTATCTTTTATTTCATCAGATGTTTCGTCTCAAGATATACCAAGAGCTTTAAAACTCCTCACACCAGAAAATAACATTACTCAGGAAATAGAGATCAACGGCGAGAATATTCGGATTAAAACTAACACGCCTGTAGCTTCCAGTGAAGTCAAGGCAGTGTGTAATAACGAAATTGACGTTCGAGCCTTAGATGGTAGAGAGACCAAGGTAAGAGAACATAGTATGTTCAAATACTTCAATTCCAGTTGGAGAGGTTAGTCTTAAACACCAAGTCTACATCATCGTACAGTATGATAGTACATAACCTGTTTTTTTCCCGTTATTCATTAATATTATCTACAAATATTGCAAGACAGCTGAAATATTCACAGAGCTTGGTCTCGTCTATCGATATCTTTCTACTTGAATATGTCCATATTTTTGTAATCTTTTGAATGCCATTTTATGTCCTAGGCAGTTTATTCTGTAGAAGATAACCAGATTATAGAAAATGTTAGTGGACCATATACAGCTAAGATTATTCGATGTTTAGACGGTGATAATATGAAAATGGTAAGTGTGTATCTATCATAAATCCGAATATCGTCAACAGCTATACCGACACGAAACTACGTAAGGTTTTGGCATGGAAATAACACATATGAACGTAGCATATATAAGTCGAAAAACTACAATGTTTCTCCAAAGCCTTCATATCACATTTTTAAATGTGATTAAAGGGCTTTTTTGAAATGTAAAGCCTTTTTTCAAGGCTTCAGGGAAGAGATTCAAAATTATTGTGAACTACGTTCGCGTGTGTTATTTCCATGTCAGAACAAAACGTATGCAGCCTTAACATTTTACTTCACCACCTGGAAAAAACCGCAAGATTGTACTACAGATTATGATTTGGTGCAGGTACTCCACGGAGAATCATATCGTATATTTGGATGTATGAAAGTTTCAATTGTAACGCTATTACTAGTTTCTGACACCCAGACTTCTCCCGTCTGAGTCGCATGGCCATGAAGATGAGCAGCTGTCCATAACTCTGTATATATAACTAAATAAATTTACGAGGTATCACGCACGTTTGCGCCCAAAGTAAAAATATCTGTCAGAGCGTCTAAAAAGTTATCAGGTTTCAGACTACAGTCGTTGAGTTTCTTTATTTGTATAGACGCATCATACATAGAATGTTCACCTCGACAAGTAATACAGATTGCCAATATTAATATCAAAAAACTTTTTTCTCCAGGTTATGAGTTGTGGAGATGTGACATCAACAAGAACGTATGAAAAAGTATAATCCCTAACTATTCTATCTTGATCAATGATTATTAAACTATTTATTTTTGTATCATGTTTAAAATATCCCCTATATATTTATTGCCCCTATTATTTTAAAACTTTACGGTAACCTTCAAAGTTGGTTAATTACAATCAATGCCCCATAGCTCTTGCTCACTATAGCAGACGATAAAGCAAAAGAAACGCATTGAATCGGATCTGCGCAAATATCTTAGATGGCCCATACATTTCAAATATGCTTTAGATCTAATTGACAGTTGCTTCCATTCGACACATCAAGAAGGAATTCGACACATCAAGAAGGAAAACATTTAAAAAGTCGGAGTAAAAGACAAATATTATAATTTTCATTTACTTAACAAAATAAATAATAATACAATTTCCGGTTACATAGTATCTATATAATGATAACAATCAATTAGTAACATTACGCCACAAAATAGAGTGCATAGTTAATGATTTCAATATAACAAGTTGAATGTTTCTATGTAAGAATATCAGGATCAGCTCAAATGGACTACCCTGGAACCTTCGGAGAACCAATCCAAATTTCAATATGGCATCGAATGCATATATATATTTTCATCAACAATCAAATTGCTCATGATTTTCAGTCCAATAAAAAAGCGGACCAGTGCTCTGAATTATACATTACATACATAATCAAAAGATTAAGACTTAAAGATGATCGAACAATATCATTAATATTCACCAAAAACATTTGTTAAAATAATACAGTTAGGATAATATATCTGGAAACAAAGCTCGACCCTTGACAGATTTAAGTTTCTTACACAAAACCCTCAATACAAGAAAATAAAAATCAAGAATTTCAAGTAATAATCTTCAAATATTGTAAAACTGGCATCACAATGTATAATTATTTCATTGCTAAATATCTTTTCAAATACATAAGCCAGACTAATATCTTTTCAGTAATAACTTAAAATAAATTAAAATGGTTCTTACGCCGCAAACAGATTTGGGCCTATAGCTAACTTTCGGTTTGAATAGTCCACGTTTCAAGACAAACATACGAAATGATCATGGCGACAAATCATTCATTCATTTACTGGTCTGTGACGTGCAGACAAATTGTGTAAGAAATGAATTTATCGTGGCTGCATAGAAAGAAGGGCTTGGTTTGCCAACGCTAACAGGTTCTTGGCAGCTTCTTTTTCGGGACTCTGGACAGTGTTCAATGTTCCTTGTTCAACCTTATTTGCAACACTGTCAGTGCCGTTAGAAACTTGATTCTCGGTGATATTAATAGCACCAGAATGATTGTCCACAGTTTGCTCTATGACGGGTTGGGTCTTTTTGATGTCTGAAGCAACACCACTGTCCACGCTTTTCAACACGTGCACATTTGAGATATTGACATCAGATCCTCCACGAGAAGCATCTGTCTGATAGTCTACGGCAGATTCATATTTGATTTCTAGTTTCGGTTTTGTGTCATGCAACGACGAAGACGCTATCGATGAATTTCCACCCTCATCTTTCGCGCTCATTTCTTGATTCATCCGGTAGATCGACGGCGGAAGTTGTGTACTTAAAGGAATTGCAGGCGACGTGATCATTGCTTGGGAGCTGAAACTGTATGGGAATGTCGCCAAAGTACCCTTTGATACGCTTGCTGACACAGGTTGGTCGTCAGTCGATGGCGTAGTCGAAGTCGGTGTTACACCAGTGGGTACAGCCTGCTCACCCGTGTTCGCGCCCGACTGTTGAGACAACAATGAAGCAAACGTAGTCTTTCCACTCATCGTGACTGGTATCTGGCTAGGGTCGCTAGATTGACCTGGGGCACGTACAGTAAGGGTCTGGTTACCAATCTGTATTGTAGCTTGAGGGACTATCTTCAAAACACCATGGTCCACCGTCACGGGTATCCCTTGTGCGGTCATCAACTGTCCACCGATGTTATACAGAAGAAGCTTTTGCTTTTCAGGAGATTCCAAATTGATTTTTTCGCAAGGACCAATACTGGTAACATCCAATCCTTGGGTTGTGATAGATTTTGAAGCATCAGTCGCTTGAGGCGACAAATCAGATTCCGTCAGCTGTAGAATCTTGGTACCAACATTCATCCGCTTATGGTCAGTTTTCTCGCTTGGCCATATCACATGTGGTTTCGGGTCATTTTCCACAATTTTGGTAGGTGTTGCTGATACTATGGTGTTTATTGATTCAACAGCGGACTGGGTCACACTTGTCGAAACTTCAGGCGCTGTGTTTAAAGAAACAAAAGTCTTGGAATTGGATACTACTGGTATTGACTTGTTGATAGATCCACTTGCAGTTTGGGATGAGGCTGGGTTTTGAATCATACCCGGATTTGCCGTAATACCTTTTACCGGCGTTACAAAACGGGGTGATATTATGTTAGTCGAAGCGGGATGGGTAATAGTTTGGATCTGGTGTCTTTGACTAGGTGTCAACTGTCCGACACCGCTGTTTGGAATGGTCACGCTCAATGGCATATGTATGGAAACTGGTAACTTACTCGATGAAGGCGATGAACTTGTTACTGCTGGTGGTTTGGTTACAAATCTGGTAGCTGGTGACAAACCAACTTTATTTCCCGCTACATTTAAATGGAATTGAAGTTGAGACGATGCATTGGGCGTTTGAATAACTGGTCTCACCTGCCTTTGTCCAGGGGAAACCTGAAGCTGTTGAAGAATCTGTTGGCTTACTGTTTGTAGACGAACTACATGATTTGGAGTATTTTGTGTCATCAATACTGGATTGGCTTGAGCTGGGGACTTTCCCTGTGGTAAGTACTGACCAGTAGCCTTGTTTATTGGCGAAGCTACTGAGGTCACGGTAGAGTTTTGCTGAACTCCGTGCTGGTTTGGACTTTTAAGAAGAGCTCCCTGCAATTGCACTGTCTGAACATTTGGTACATTTACTTGGGATCCTTGCTGAACTGCTACATTTCCAGGCTTGGTTTGAAGCTGGACAACCTGGCCGGATGGTAGGATACCTTGTAGTCCAACAAAGTTTTGTGGTAATTGGGCTGTTCCAGGTTGCCCAATAACCTGTAAACCGACAGCCTTTTGTCCAACAGGAACTTGAAGTTTTTGTTGGTCGGCAAGTTGTCTTACTAAATTAGATGCTTGCATGGTCGCCGCGTTCCCTTGATTGACATTTTGGGAGATAATGAAATTGGTGGGTTTTGAAACGGCTACCGGTTGTCCTTGTAAAGTCTTCAGCTGCACTGCCGTAGAACCTGGTGTTAATGCTGGTTGGCTTAATGTGACAGCTGGTCCTGTTCCTAACACTGGTTGGTTCTGGACCTTTTGCAATTGTACTTTCTGGCCTTCTTGGGTAGGTTGCTGTAAGATGAAATAGCTTGCAGGTTGACGAATACCAACTTGGTTTCCTACAGCCGTAACTGTTGTAGTAGTAGTTGGTCTGGTTGCCATTTGAACACTAGCAAATCGCTGCAAGTTGGCAGGCTGTGTAACATTGTTTACATTCAATGATGACCCAACAGTAGCTGTGGTTGATTTAGGCATCTGAAGTATGAAGGATCCACCAGAATTTGAAAGCAGGTTACTAGGAATTTGTAAACCTTGTGGTGTTAAAATGCCTTGAATGAAATTAGGGGATCCCGCTGCTAGATTCTGTGGTACAACCCCCTTGTTTTGTCCTTGTAGAAGAATGGTATTGGTTTCAGGAGTTTTGTTCTGGAGAACAGTTCCTGGTTTTGTAAAAACACCTGCCTGACCAGTAGAAGCACTTGTTAAATTTGTAAAAGGTTTCAATGTAGTCATATTAGAACTTAAAACGGCTGAGTCCAAATGTGTTTTTGATTTTGTGGTCACTGGAATTGGTGCATTGATCATTTGAACTGTTTTGGTGATGTTTTTTCGTGGTTGAATTAAGGGCAAGGTTACCGGAGGTGGGACTTTGATATTTACAGTTGGTAGAGAGGTACTGATGGAGCTTGGAGATGAAGTAATGGATTCTGGTAGTTCAACAGGAACTTGAAGTAATTTGGCAATAACTTTCCTTGCACCTGTGATTTCTGTATTGGATTGAGGGGCAGCTTCTAATGGATCCACAGATGAAACTGTACATGCCGTTGAGTGAACTGTGGTAATTACATTAGTTGATGTTTCAGTTCCAGGTCCTGTTGCATCGGATTTCAAAGCAGCTCTGTTTTCCAGCAATGTCTTCACAGTAACATTTGTGGCATATTTTGGTCCTACAGGTTTTGATGGAGATGTAAGTGAAATCACAGTTTGAGGCATATTAGGAGACAAAGAAGGTGGAGTTATTTGGTTTTGAACAGATAGACAAGGCATGGTTGTTGCAAGGGTGACCTGCCCTAATGAAGCCATTTGTAATACATTCTGAGTTTGAACAACAAATGGTTTTTGTGGTGATACCGTAGAAACCACAGGAGTTAAAGAAGCTACTGTTGGTGTGATCACTAAAGGCCCTTGGGTACTTTGAGAATCAGGTTTCTTTGCGTTGGATATCTGTAAAGGAGCAGCTAATACCAATTGTGTCTCTCCTTTGATATTCTTCTGGATCTTGACTGCTTGGTTTTTGATGAGTTGCTGCAGAAGACCAGCAGGCAAAGCAGATAAACTGGTCACTTGTGGTTTACCCTGAGGTGTTGCAGGTGTAGCTTGTGGTTGATTTGTAATCACGTAATGAATTTTTGATGGTTGAGATGTATTAGGAGCAACTTTCTGGTTTAATTGTTTTGATGTATTGACTAGGGACTGTGGTTGAATGGATTGTTTGGCTAAGAGTTGTTGTATCACAGGATGAGAGGACTGTTTGACTAAGGACACTGGTGCTTGCTGTCTCATATTGGAATAATTGGCATCCATCTTCTGGTTGGCAACTGATAATCGTAAGAGCTGACTAGCTGACTGTGGCTGGTTTGTTAAAGATGGACGTATGGCTATAGTATGACCCAAGGATGTTGACTGTATTGTAAGTGATTGAGAAGCTACTTGTTCACCAATTGTCACTGAAAAGAAAAAGAACAATAAGTAAATTTAATGAAAATGGTTCTATAAAATGTGATAGATTATGGTACACATGATCCTGTCTACTAGCATGTCCTCGAGTCCTATTCCTGGATTGTCAGTACAAAGTAGAGAAAGATGATTTATCTGGTCTTACCTGGAGTCTGCCTATGTAAGATATTTGGGACATGAGTAGTAATAGCTGGTTCTTCTTTCTTAATGACCTTTTTCTTCTTCAACAGAGACTCCTCACTGTTGTTAGGAATGACTCTTCGTTTTCTCAATCTACCTCTGGAACTATATTCAATATCATCATCTGCTATATCAGTTGGTTCTTCTTTGATATCCAACTCTCCTGTTTTGGATTTTTGGTCAGATCTTTTAGCAGGTGATTCTTCAGCTTCATTTTCTTCATTTTCAGACACATCAGTATTAGTTCTACTTTCTGATTCTTCCCATTTCTAAAAGAAATTGACCATTAAAATCCCAGGTCCTGTTTTTCAAAAACATTTACATATAGATATTGCCCACACTTATGATAATGGGGCCCTGTAACTTGCAAATAAATGATTCGTTGAGGACAAGTATATCAATTTGTTACATAATGACTGTTAGATTACCATTAACTTCTAACATGAATATGACATTTCTACGCCTCATGGAATCAAGATCAACATCAAAAAAGCAGAATATTATAGAAATCAACTTGAGTACAGTGTAAGTAAATGTTTAATTTGATACCTCAGCAACAACTTCTTCATATTCTTCAAATTCCTTCCGAATTTTAACTCTGGCTTTTCTCATGGCAGCATTCAGTTTTGATTCCCAAGGTTCCAGTTCAGACAGCAGGAATGCTAGCCGTTCATGTAATTCTACAATACACTTCTTTCTAGCTGCTGGTTGTACAACCTGAAAGATCAGAATATGTTTTCCAATATAAATACTGCATAGATATCTGAATATTAAAACATAGCTTGTCAGGCAAGGTAATATACGCCCACTGGCAGCTTTGATTTTGAATAAAAATATTCAGCAGTACTAAACTAAATAACTCACACTAAATATTTTTCAATTCTTCTGATTTTCAACAGGGTTCATCCTTAAGTGATTATGAACATTTACACCAAGTTTCATCAAAATCTGTCAATTATTGTCCCTTCTAGAGTGTTTACAATTTAAAATTGAACGCATTTTGAAGAACAAGGGCAATAATTCATATAAAATATTTTTCGATTTATCGATTTCCAATAGGGTTCATCCATCCTTGGGTGATAATAAACAATTTCAGCAAATTTTGTCAAAATCTGTAAAGAATTGTGACTCGTAGAGTGTTTACAAGCTAAAATTCGAAGAACAACGGCAAAAACTCATATTAAATATTTTTCGATTTTATCGATTTTCGATAGGCTTCATCCTTGGGTGATAATAAACGATTTCAGCAAGTTTCGTCAGAATTGTGACTTGTAGAGTGTTTATGAGCAATTGTGGACGGATGGACGGACGGACGGACGAACGGACCGACGGATGGACATGGGTGACGGCAAAGTACGCTCAACATTTCATGTGGGCGTATAAAAATTGGAATTAAAGGGTAGCCTAAGAAAATGGGAAAATGAGCAAACATTCACGTAACTGAAAATCAAAAATGCAAAGTGAAGTAAATAATCAAGCACAGTCACAGACGGACAGTTGCTTACCTTTTCTTTGTTTCCTCTCTTGATGACAATGGGTTCTTGTTCAGCAAACTTATCAACCAGTTTTCTCAAATCATCCACATTATCACAAATCATCTTAAATGATCCTAGTTCTGGCTCCTGTGAAAAAAAAAGATAAAAGATGTATACTTTATTGGTTTTGATCATGTAATGTAAGCAAAGGAGAATGCTTAAAATTGCACCTATTTACTAACTAAGTTTACTAAATCTGCTAATAGCAAAAAACAACACGTTGTCAAGTAGCATATATACAGATTGATGTTATTTATAGTCCTCAAATATTAATCAATTGAATCAACTTACCAATTCTTCTTCAGATTCTTCTTCAATTTCTTCCTCCTTTTTGATATCATTTTCCTTTTTCACCTCAGCATCAGTCTCCATCTTGAATTCTTCTTTAATATAATCTGGTTCCTTTTTTACACCTTGCTGATCCCCTCTAACCTCAGAATTATTTTCAATCTTGAATTCTTCCTGAATATCTTTTGGTTCCTTTTTCACATCTTGCTGATCCAATTTCATCTCAGTATCAGACTCCATCTTGAATTCTTCCTTAAAATCTTTTGGTTCCTTTTTCACTTCACTTATCACTTCTGGCTTCTGATAAGTGTCAGTTAACTGAACTTCATTTCTAAATGACTCCTGACATACTTCCTCTTTCAAACTTGATATTTCTGGTTGCTGATCTTCCCTTTCAATCTTCACCTCACTCTTCAATTCTGAAGTCAATTTTTGTGCAGGATCTGCTTCACTTTTTGTATCAGTCTTAACTTCTGCTGTCTTCTCTTCTCCAATACATTGAGTTATATGCCCTTTATCCTTTTGTTCAGCTTGCCCTATTTCCTGAACAGGATCCTGAGATAAGTGATCTTCATTATTGACTCCAGTTTCCAACCCTTCTGACTGCAGTGACTTCTGAGACTTTGAGGTTTCTGCAGGCACCATAGAACCCAGAGAAAACTTTACATCTTCCATTCGAGTTTCTGTTTGAGACTTAGAATTTCTGGAAACTGTTTCCAACGACAAATCCTTATTATGATTCTCATTCATATCACAGCTTGTATAACTGGATGATTGGGACTCCATTGTTTTACAGTTATCCAGTCCTACATTGTCACTAACTGCCTTTTTTTGCATCATATCTTTAACTGCAGGTGAAACTTCTCTTTGAGAATTGTCTAAATCATTGTTCACTTTTTCCGCATTGTTTGGAATATTATGCTTATCAATATCACTACTTGGAGATTTAGATGTATCTGTTTGCCCAGAAGATCTGTCAACAGTTGGGTCTTGTTTGGAATGATCAAGAGTGTCTTTATTTTCAGTGTTCACCAAGTTTGAATCAGGAACTATTTGATGGACACAATCTGTAGCACTTTGGGAACTGTCATTGTCTTTTGTTGGAGCGCTATTTTGGGCATTTTGACTTTTGCTAATTTGGGAATCATTCAAAGAACTATCAGGGCTAATTTTCTCAGCACCTGATTTGATAGATTCACGATCCTCACTTAGACGATCATCAATGGCACATTCGGTTAGACTTGAGCAGGTGCTCTCATCCATAAAGTCACTTTCTGTCACTGAATCATTATCATTTACAGTTTCCACAAGGCGTCTGGAGCGTTTCCGTCTTCCATTTGTTCTTTTCTTCCGTGAGTTGGTCATAGAGGGTGTTGTACTGTCATTACTAGTTTCATCTAGAAACAAAGGTGTCCTACATGAAGCACGAGTGGCCCTTGCACGATGTCCTAAGAAAGAAACAGGGAAGGAGGTACTATCATTACTTGTATCGTCAAAATTACTAAGGTTACGTTTTGATGCTGATGATTTCACTGAACTATTGTTATTTGAATTACAGCTTTCTTCACTTTGTCCTCTACGTGACCTTCTTAAATTGGCTGACTCAGGTGTCTGGTTCTAAAAAGAAAGAAATTAGACAATTTATTAAGACCTTTGTATGCCTTCTTACATCATAGTTTATGAAAGTGAATGGGATTTAAATCTTGCCCAATGGACAAGATTTTTTTTATGGTGTGATAGTCACAAAACCTGACACCAAGTAATTTGAATACACATACCCTGCTGCTTTGACGTGAATTGACTGGCGTGGATTTCTTGGACGGAGTTTCAAGTTTACTTTTTTTAGGTGAAGGTGGTATTTCTTCCTAAAAAGAAGAATTATTTATTTAAACATTATTACATTACATGATAATTCAGGGGAAATAACTCTACCTTACATTCACCCAGAACACCATCCAACATTAAACAGACTTTTATGTTGTTTAAATTCTGTAAATATGTAAAAATAAAAAAAATAAAAACATAACAAATTTAAAGTTACCTCCTCTTCTTCACTAAAATCTGGTTCTGGGAATGGTTCCTGTTTATAAATACGTAGGTCGGCACCACAGAATTGTGGGAAGTGTATATATGAATTACCCTTAGTATCATAACCAATCAGATATTCATGTTGTTCTGGTAATGGTTGTCGTTCTATTGCATCACGTAATGATTCTTGGGTTTCCTGGAACAAAAATCCAAAAAATTGAAATGGGTAAGCAAGTGAAGAAAAGGCTTAGTAAGAAGCTAATTTTCAGCTTATTTCAAGGTTGTCATAATCAGAGTAATTTATTTGAAGCACATTTCACCGTAACTACATACAGGTAAAAGAGGAAAATACCTTAAGATCAGGATTTTTTGGGCACCTCCAACCTCCAAATTCAATTCCGAATGAGAAAAACTTATTGTTGTGCTTAATCGAATTGAAATTGAGACAAATTTTAGAATATCAAATAAAATCAATATTTCATTCACATGCCAACTATAAAACAGAGATGTGGGTCTTTATACTTACCAAACAATTATCACATAGACTTTTAACAATCCATATTCTACGATAGTACGACAGTTCATGAAATTTCCTTTTATCTAATGGATTTTTCTTGCCTAGAGAAAATAATACATTCATTTATTCAGAATATATAATTAGAGCATGTATATGTCTGTTCATTTTCTAATAATAAATATAACTAAATTGTATTTAAATATACAAAAGCTTACAAAAAACCCTACCACCTAGCAGTGTTTATGAAAATATGTAAGAGAGTGCCCAGTTTTAACTCTCATATTTGATGACCAACATCAATTCAAACTTACCAATAACATCAAAGAAGAAAGAATCAATTCCTAATTTAGCACTAGTCTAAAATAAATAAAAATAAAGAAAATACAGTTATAAACAAGAATCAGCCAATGAAGGTTCAGGAATTGAGTTTTGCAACCGACTTTTCAGCTGGAAGAGTGAGGAAATTTTGTCACGAAATGGAGGACATAAATCAAGGACAATCTCTCTCTTTTCACTTTCATCCATCTTTTCTATCTTAAATATGTAAAACCCGAAGAGCAAACGATTTCTTGTTCCAACTGCATGACTAACAATCATGCACTATCCAGAGTTCCAACCAAATAGTTCCAATTAGGCAAATAAGCAGATATTAACCACATGTGAGTGCACAAAAATATAAACTGTGTTTATCATGAACACACAAAATATGAAGTGACAGAGGAATATTTCTGTAGCAAGTGAGCTTGCCATCGGCTAGGTGATAAGGTGCTGTGGGTTTCAAGGTAAGAAAAATTCTAATGCCAACTCTTTCCTGAGTCAGACTTGTGTCAGCTTTCAACCCCTATCACAAAATATAAAACTTAAAATTATTTTGTATACCTTATAGGCATCTCCACCGTTATCACTAAGGCACTTATACCATTGAGTTAATCTACCATGTAATAAATTATGCCATGCAGCATAGGGCATGACACCAGTATTACCCAATCTACAATAGATTTTCACAAAATAAAGAAAAAACCAAAAAAAACCTAGACATACAGATCGTATGAGTAGTCATTTTTATTTCATGAGAGAAGACTTGAATATCAGATTTTCATTTTGATAAGTCATACAGATAGCTGAATTTGAACTCTATCAAGCTAGTAAAGCAAACATGCAGAACTATATCTGCTTGAAATTATAAACTACATACTTTGTTCGTTGATGAGGTGTACTAAGGAGTGTAGACATTACAGCTTGAATACACGAACTCTGTCTTGGCATAGCAAACCCTCGCTCTAATTCAAACTGGGCAATTTCACCAACATTTAATGGATCTTGGCATAGAAACAGAAAATGACCTATTTGTGGTAACTGAAATAAAAAATTTTTTTGAAATTATTTGAGTTCAAAAACATTAGACAATGAATTAAAACAAATATTATAAAGCTATATGAGCTTAGAACTAAATTTTGGAGATTGCATGTAAGCAAGTCTTATACCAAAAAACTGATATAAGATGAGAAACTGGCAAAAAAAAAACACTCATAATATACCTCCCACAAGTGATACATCTGCGATTTGATAGGTTCTTGTAATAATGTATTCTCCCATTCAATTTGTTCCTGTATCAAGGCCTCGTTTGCTGCCTTACGATCTAAAATCTGTTGCCGTCGGCTTTCTTTATCTCGCTGAGCCTCCTCTTGACGAAGTTGACTCAATAAAGCTGAAGTGTCTCTTTGATATGTAGATTTTACTCTTCTTCTCATTGCTGTGAAATATATAATAAAAGTATTGAATAATTACTTGAGACACCTGGAATATTGACACAAAGAGGAAAATCATCTAAAATATATTTTTTTTTCCTCATTGTAACATAATAAGATAGCTTGCAAGGCAAGGTAATATACGCCCACTGGCAGCTTTGATTTTGAATAAAAATATTTAGCAGTACAGTAACAATCACCAGTATGAAATATTCAACCTTCAGTCATACACTTCTTTTGAACTCTTTAGGGCAATACTGAAAAATATTGATCAATTTTTAGCTCGTGAAAACTCTAGAAGGCAAATATTCAATCTTCAGCGCAGGACTGAACAATGAAACAAGTTTTGTCAAAATCCAGTAAGAATCATGTCTTTTAGTGTTTAAGAGCTAAATTTGAAAGCGTTTTCCAGAACTCATACTAAATATTTTTCAATTCTTCTGATTTTCAATAGGGTTCATCCTTGGGTGATAACAAACATTCACATCAAGTTTCATCAAAATCTGTCAACAATTGTGCCTTTTTGAGTGATTACGAGCTAAAAATTGAACGCGTTTCCAATAGCAAGGGCAATAACTCATACTAATTATATTTTGATTTTTCTGATTTTCAATAGGGTTTATCCTTGGGTGATAACAAACACTCATTCCAAGTTTCATCAAAAAACATCAAGAATTGTGTCTTGTAGAGTGTCTACGAGCAATTGTGGAGGGACGGACAGACAGATGGACTGACAGACGGACTCTGTTCCACTACACATTTTGGCTAGTGCCACTGGTAAATATTGGGCTTATACCCTTGTGTAAAAACCTAATACCACTCTACACCTGGGTTTGTCCCCTCAAGAAATCTATAGGGGCCTATAGCTAATCCTGCTTATTTGGAGCATTCATTATACCACAAAGTTTTTTACATACTTGGCCAAAATTTTACTCAAATTTGAAGCAGCTATTGCCTATTACAGATTACAACAAAGAAAATAAAATATATCAATCTATTTCTTTTGGCAATATGTTTCTGGCATCATATTAATCTTACACTATGCTTATCATAAGGGAATTAGTTACTGTACCTGAGGAAAATGATTCTTCTACTTTACCACCAGATGTGGCTGTAACACTTGTTTTCTCTCTTAGCTCTCTATAATCAACACATATTATCATATGAATTAGATAGAAAACAATACATAAATAAAGTTTAATATTCCAGACAGCCTGTGTATCAAAATGATATTTCAAAAGGTTATAATAATTTGTTGACATGACCATAAGACTTATTACTGGTACTAGTTCTAGTAAAGCATGCACAACCTGCAAGAAAATATGGTTTGTTTTTGTAAGATTTATCACCTCTTTTTTGATAATGATAGATGATAAAAAACAGAACTTGTATTGTCAAGCAAAAGTATTTGTGCACATTCAGGAACTTAAAACAAAAACACAAGCAATCCATTTTAAGTTTGGGTAGTTTTCAAGTATTAAAGAACACAATATCATTCATCTTCACAATGTCAAGCTATCACAAACTGCACACTTATATGTTGACTGCAATAGTCACCTTTCTTGTATCATGGAAGTTTGTAAATGAAAAGATTTGATTTGATTGTACGTAGCGAATACAGCCAATCAGAGGCCTCTACAGAAAGTCTGAAAACGCAAATAGCTTGACATTGTGAAGATGAATATATCAGTATGTTTTACCTTGAAAGTAAAGCTAATTTCTGTTCCAACATCATCTCAAGTCTCTGTCCACGTTTAGAAATAAAATGATCAGGACCATTATAACGGTAACAATTCTCTAACATAACACGAAAATCCGTAACAAACTGAGTTATATTCTCATATAATCCATCAACAAACTTCTCTTTCACTGTAATGGAAGATTGAAAGTATGAATTGAAAATACAAGAATGAATGAATAAAGGAATGAAAGAAAGGTTGAAATAATAAATGAATGAATGGACTGATGAGCTAAAAGTAAATCAATAAACATTTCTATCTTTGCATATGGGGCTACACCCATGCCGCAATAAGTATTAACTCAGTGCTTGCTCGCTAACCTGAATGCCTAGGGTTGAATCAAGATGACGACATAGGTCAAGATATACTTTCACATTTTTAAACCTCTTGTCAGGGATGCAATTAGGAAGGACTGACATAGAAAAAAAGCGTCAAATCATTCAGAGGAGATAATTAACTTATTTATCATTATAGGCTACCGGTAGTGCATGCCAAAGACCTCTTGTTAATTGCATAGCATTGCCTGTCTTCATCACTATTAGAAAAATCAGGCGCAGAAACAGCTAGTAGGCTACAGTAGAGTAGGCCAATTTCAATATCACCAAATAAACATGATGTGGATTAAGACAATTAGCTACTTGATCAGATTCCAAACACACTTTAATTAGTGTTATGAAGTGTAATCAACAACCTCTCAGGTAAGGATAAATATAGTAACAGAAGGCATCCCCATCTATTTCTTGGGAATTCCCTTCAAACTGCTTAATCACAATATTATTGTATGAAATTCAGTATGCCATAAATTTCAATGTGAAAATGATGAATGGGATTTAGTTTAGAGTCGGTAGCATTATACTTACTTCTCTTTAACCACATAGGGTTATCAACAATATCATAATAATCGGATGTATCAGAGTGACTATCGTCCACAGCATTCATAAATGCCCAGTTGAAAGCTTTGTTATTATCGGACATCAGCTCCCGTAGAATTCGGTATCCCTGCTGTAGTTCGGGAGATAAAGATTTCATAATTGGATCATCTTTCTTTGAACTTATACGAGTTTCGGAAGGCATTTTACCAGTTTTGTTGACAGGGTCGGGAGTTGTGGGTCTTGATCCATCCTGACTGTCGGGAACATTGACCTTTGATTCTGGATCAGATGGGATGTTGGCCGAATCTTGTTCTAAATTTAGCCCTGACTCTACAAATGATGTTCCAACTTGGATTGGGCTGTCCTCAAGATTTGGTAATATTTCAGGGTCAGCCATTTTATTGTTCTCTCCTGAAATATCTTTTCTCAAGACATTTCCAAAAGGTTTCAAAACGTTTTACTTATTGTGATAAACAATCAATATACGATCAGAATAAAAACAAATTTGTGTAAATTCTGTTTGTTCTTATTATTGAAATCATATTCATATTGAACTCTGTTGAAAATATTGAAAATGATAAGACACACATATTGTCTTCCAATTTATCAGCACAAGGTTCCTTGGTCTCGGCGAAAGTCTTTCTAATTCATGAATCCATCACCTGAAATAATCTGCTTCCATTCAAGTTGAAAATCTCACCGTTTAGCCATTAAGTGGAATAAAAACACCATCACACCTGACATAACGAACCATTTACATTCACATTGCACTGCCTAAATTTCAGCGCAGGGATTTTATTGGACATTTTTGCGTTCTCACTCAAGGACTTGTTCGGTCATATTTTGGTTCAGAATGTCTTTGGTTATGCATGAAATGATTTTGTCAATCTAAACCATAAACTAAATTGCTTCTAAGTTTGGCTTTGTTTGTTTTCTTTGAGCAAACATTTAGTCCTATTTTCTACGAGTGTCCATATATGCAAATTAAGAGTGAAATGTCAGCCTCTATTCCAAAACGAGACTGTTGTCCACGCGCACCTGCTCAATATTTCAAATGTTTTCCATCAAATGCAATTTTTTGAACAGGAATTTCATTTTTGGTTTCAACAAATTTGTGAGTTTCAAGTTATAAATTAAAATTATAAATTTAAAGAAATGCAAATTTTGTCGGAATATAACGACGACGCTAACTGGGTCAGGGTCGAGATTTTTAAGGTCACAAGGTGTTGTACTTCCGGAGGTCACTGCAATGGCGGTGTGGTGGAGAATTGTGACACTGTCACTAACATTATTAGTCAAATTAGTTGCAACAGCTGAAGTTGATTTGACGTTAGAGGTGTCGGCGGGCCAAGAAGAATGTCTATTTCAATTTATTAAGAAACCGTCCAATTTAGAAGTCGAATATCAGGTACATCAAGCGATGTTTTAGCCGTTGTTACGTGCTCCATATCAATGACAATGATTCATGAAGAATCGTGAATGCTTTATAGTGTCAGTGTCAATTTTCTTTTAACTTTATAACTACGGTGACTTTCGTTATGTATTTCTTATGGCGAAACTTGTCACAATTATTGATGCAGATCTAAATAAGTTTATATTTTATTTGATAGCCTTTCTATCGTTGACTTATCTGTTATCACTCTCAGTTTCTGAAGAAGACATGGTCGATCAAATTTACTTTCCCAGTATTTCTAATAATTGTAAAATTAAGTCAAGTGGGATTTTGCAAAATGCAGGCAAGAACAGAAATCCATATACCCAGCATTGGTATTTGGTGCAATTCTGGTACAGATCATAGATAAGCTTACTCTCCAGTCTGCAGTCTGGTCTTCAACACTAATCAGAATTACATCAATTTCACTCAGTTGGACTTTTTTTTATAGATGTATGTCTGTTTTGACACTCTTTTCTCTAGTTCTCTGCTGTTTTATACGAACAGGAGAGTCTTGGTTGTACCCCCTTAGAGTCAGAGTCCTTGAGTCTCCACTGTAAGTCTTTGAAATTATTTGAAGAATAATCTTGTTTCTTTTCTCATATTACAGGTGATAGAAGGAGGAGATTTAGATGTAGATTTCTCTATAATATCGCCTAATGGACAAAGATTGGCCCATGATCTTAGAAAATCTGAAAATGTACATAAGTAAGTCGTTTGATGTTTTTTTTTTGTACAATACTTAGATAACATTAAAGGCTTTATAGTCCAGTTTGAAGTGTATAGGTTAGAAATCCTTCACACTTATTGCTATCCAATCTTGCTTGGAACTTGATATTGTCCCATTATTAGTTCGTTTATGAGGATTCCTAGTCGGATTCAGTCAAAGGGTTGGATAATCCCAGCTAAAAGTATATGTGGCACCGATTGCCTTTTAGAAAATTAATGTGTAGGTGTGCCAATAATATGTGATCCTCTGAGATATATAACTTTGATATATAACACATTTATTTCAGAGTGGAGGTGAAAGTGCCTGGAGCCTATCGATTTTGTATGGATAATTCTTTTAGTAGATTTACACATAAAGTTGTATTTTTCGAATTATTAACTGAAGATGATGAGGATGAAGATGATAAAGATTGGGATTTAGAGAAAGATGAAATTGCTGAATATATTGACATGACTATAGAAGATTTAAAGGTATTTTGGGTTTTTTTTTATGCTGTTTCAAGTTTGAAGATCCATAGCTTAAGGGACATGTTCGCCATCTGTTTGATCCTACCTTAGTCTCAGAAACATATATTATTTTTAGCTAAGCTGATCAATAATAGTGTTCACAGCTCACCATGGAATTTGAGCCTTTAAATCCATGTATGTCCAGAATTATCCACGTTTAAAAGTTAGAATGACGACTTCCCTTTTCTTGATACTCTGCCATATATAGAAAAGACATGTATAGCAAGTTTTTATAGGTTTGAAGACTATTACCTATATCAACTCGTGATCATGCCCTTTCAAATGTGTTTCCAAATTTTTTCTAATATTACATAACATTTACTTTTCATTTCAGACACTGATAGGAACAGTGAAATCAAATTTAGAGAAAACATCCCAGATTCAAAGTATTTTACGAGTGTATGAGTCTCGTGATCGAAGTCAGATGGAACATAATTATGAACGTGTAAATTTCATGTCAGGTGTTCAAGTTTTTATAATGTTATCTGTTGGCATTACTCAGGTATTAATGATCCGTAATTTATTTACTGAAAAATACAGTACTGGAACTAAAACACATACGTGATTTCATGAGTTTTAGATTATCACCATTAGTGCTCTTTTTATCTCCCTTCCTTTGTTATTGTTTTGCTATGGTATGGTATGGTGTGCAGAAAATGTTTTGTAATTCAACAATGATACAACAATGATTTATATGAATAAGTTGTAAATTTTAGCCTTATGTATAGATCAAACATAATTTATAAATAATTTTTATTTCCATATTATAATAGTCCTCAGTTATTTTGCCTCTTAAAGATTGAAATTTGGCACATTTCTCAAAACTTAAAACTATCAAAGATTCATTATCTGCCTGTGACCAATCTTGCCATCAACAAGAAATTCTGAGATTCAGGCCAAAAAAGCTCAAATGTAAGTGAACCAATTAATATTCATATAATTCCTTCGTCAAAATTGATCTCAAGACTTTGGTGCATCTGATTAATCAGATTAATCTCAAGTTTAGTTTCTAAACTAGCTTTTGTTTTTGAACTTGCACTGTTAATAGTTTTCGAACTGTGTAAATATTGATATGTTCTAACACTGGGTTGGGACACTGTCTTATTGTAATAGTGGAATGGTTCAGTTGGTAGCGAGTTGATTTGTCGTCTGCTATGTGATTAGGTTCCGAGTGTTGATTTTGTATTGGACTGAATTTAATAATTTCTTTCTTTCTTTTTCTTGAACACAAGATCCTTGATGGGTATATTCTGATAATTTATTTTCTCCTTAAAGTTATGGACTAATCAACTCAAAGTCTTATTAAAAGAAATAAATTACTCAGTTATTATCATCTTAATTTCATTAAACATATTTATATTCTTGAAAAGGTTTCTTGAAATGAAAAGTATAAGAAAAACAAGAAACCAAATACGTGTATACGAAAAATATCTATGCAATTAATGTATTCTTTCCTTGTACCTTTTATATTTATGTCCATATTATTATTATTGTCACAATATCTTTCAACATTATTAACTATATAGATATTTTTATTAATTTGTTGTTCTTTTATTCAAAACACCCAATGTCTAATTATCTAATATCATTTTGATCAAAATGAATTTTTAATTTTTTTTTCTGTGGAAGACTGAGCTTGATGTAGAAATAGGAAACCAGAAGAAAATGACATCAACTATCTAACATCTGGCTCTAATCAGATTTGGGAACTGTTATCATTATTTAAGAATTAAAACTGCATAATAATTATAATATTTGTTATCCATTATATGTTAATTTTTATTTATTGGACTGTTGGAAGTAAATTATTAATATCATTGCATCAGGTGTCAATATTTGATGTACAGTTTACGTAATATTTTTCCATAGAAGATGGTTGACATTTTTACCCTGTCAATCAATATTTTCTTGTATTGGTGTATACATCTTATTATGATTTATAAAAATCAAAAAAGGCATTTTCAAAAACCAAATCTTGACCAATTATTTATTTAATCAAAATTTGTGTACTATAAAGACTATAAGACACTTTGGTGATATTGGTGTTCAAGCTTGAAGATAAAAGCTTAGTTGTAGATAAAGTTATATTTTGGATTACCTAATATTGAATAATTAACAATATATTCAGTTATATAGGATTAAATGCCAGCCAGTCTACCTTAATGACATTTGACATACCTATACCAGGGGATAATTTTGGATGTAATATACTTATAAATTAATAAGTGCATCACGTATAATGTTCTTTAGTATCAAATACATATGTATTCTACTAATGGTTTTATCAGATATTTATAGATCAAATTCATCATATCCTCATATGGCTATGTGTTTTAATTGAATGATTTGTAAAATTCTGTTTATGATATGAGCTATATTTTATTATTTTGCTATGGTATATTTTATTGTTAATTACCTGTTTAAGTATTAATCATTAATTACTGCCCTTAGATCAAAACCATTCATCGAAATCCCTTAATTTATTAATCATAAAAATTCTAATTTAATGGAATCTTTATTTTTCTTTCAATGACATTGGGTTGATTTTGTTTCCATTTACATAATAAAAAGTTGATTTAGGTGAATGTCATAAGTTTTATTGATTCTTTGATTCTTGACTTTGCTCTGGATTGGGCTTTAGCCTACCCTCTTTCAATTCTGCATAGTGATGTGAACAACGTCAAGGTCAGCCCACCTGAAAATTAGTAACAAGGAGAAACTGTGTTGAAAAAAAGATAACTTCGAAATCTGACCACTGGAGAAAAACAATTGTCAAAGTAGGTTACCTCAGCTTCCTAGTCAATATGGAAAAAAAAAATAGAAGTCATATATAACAAATGTTTAATTATAAAATCTTATACTAAAATAATTTGTACAGAAAATATATCAACATAATTTCAATCTACCTGTATTTGAAGATGCCTATTTTAAAAATAAATAAAATTGGATGAAGGTTAACACTTTGCACAGTATTTTCTCTCAATCCGAGACTTGAAAATTAAAACTTTCAAAGCATAAAATAAAGTCATTTAAATTCAACAGAACTGTGAATTTTTTCTCAGTTTACTTTATTTCCTACAAATAACAAGTATCATTGAACAACAAAGACTTATATAGCTAGCTTACCTTTCCTACTATTAATAAAAACTTTATATAGTTGACTATATGGATATCATGGATATGCAACATTCAAATTGGTACTACAAACAATAGAAACTCTAATAAGTAAAAATATTCCTGATTTTTATAAGCATAATTCATTGTTAATCTGACTATTGCTATAGATCTGAATGTTTCAAACCTTTCATTGTTAAAAAAAAAAATTAAATCAAAAATCATTTAAGAAAATTAAATAAAATATAGGATGACTAAATAAAATTTGACACAAAGAACTGTCAATTCTGAATCATAAAAATTTACTTCCCTTCAACTACAAACCAATGTGTTTTTCAATGTGTTGTCTTAATACAACAGGAATTTTTATGGGTTGACTAGCATAATATTCCTTTCTTACAAATATAATTAGTTAAGAATGAATCTGTTGCCCACAGAATAAAAGAAAGAAACACAATACAACGAGCTGTATTTTGATTAGATTGTTTGATCGTAGCTTACCCTTACTCCTAACAAGACTAAATTTACTACTCTCTAAGCACACAAATATCAATAACAAATTAATAACAATATATCACAGATTACATGCATATCAATAATTAGTAAAACAGAAATAAGAATAAAGTCATACATCTGGAATAACTTTTTCTGTCCTTTTATTGGAAACACAAAATTTCCAGGGAAATAACCTATTGAATTTATGTAGCTCTGCTACACAAAAACCAACACCATTGATAATGCTTCAGAAACAGCATTATTTGAAGGCAGTAAATAACTAGGCTAATAATATCAATATTTGCAACATTTGGGCACAATATAAATCTGATTTACACAGTGTTCACACACTCAAAAGTACTCCAACTACCTACTATAGTGGACTGGTCCTGTTCTTTACAAGTTATGAATTGTCTTCATATGTCCTAGGATACCAGTACCTTTGTTCTTTGAATCTAGTCTCCTATATCTGATATCTTGATCATCACAACCTAAGATTCCCAGTAGAACATCACATATCAGAAATCTATTTCACCATGAAAATATCTATCAGAAAGTCTTGCAAATCCAATGTAGATTTCCCCTGTCTCTGTCACCTTCACCCTATAGGTCACAGCTGTTTTACTCTGTCCTTTAGGAAACTCGGCATGTCCTGTTTCTAAATCAAACTTCCAACTATGCCAAGGACATTTTACACACAGATTTCCATTTGGTAGTTCCTCTATATCACCTAGATGTAGTGGACCACCTGTAAATGAAGTCAAGTGAAAAATATTGAATGTTCTACTCTAAAATATTTATGAGTTTATGAAATGCTTTAACAAATGTTTTAGATAAGACATTAATCATTTGATTTTGGATTGATTCCACTAAAATTAATCCACTCCTTTTTGTGATCTCAATGAAAACAAAGCTGTAGTGCAATAGAAATCTAAATGAAGCAAAGGGGGGTGTGGGTTAATCTAAAATACATAATTTAAAAAAGCACTTCTTAAGTTGGCACTGTTAAAAGCTGGAAATCAAACTAATTGGATAAGAAAATAATTCATAAAGAATGGCAGAGTTTACCAATTTGAAAATAAGGACAATTTGAAATTTACCTGCATGTGGACATTTGTCTTTGACAGCATAAACATTGTTTCCATGACGAAATAAAGCAACTTTTTCTTCATTACATTCCACTAAATGACCATTTTTCTCATTATTATTTAGCAGACCCTTGGTATTGATGACAGCTGTCGTATGTTTACATTTTTGTGTTACATCAGACCAATCAAATAAATCTGAAATAACAATATAACTTCCATGATAGAGAGATAAGAACTGAATTAACCGAGTACTAAGTGGCCTGGAAATGATGGTACAAATTTAGAGTGGGATAAATGTTGAGTTTATTATGTTCCAATTACTTTTATGATATTGGCCAATTTCAGAGTCCAAATTATGTAGCTATGTCGATTCTAAGAAGAAATGCCAAACCAGTTCCAATGACAACAAGTGAAGTGCTTCAAAATCAACTACCAGTGCCAGTAATGAAATAGTAACATAGTGACAGTGGTATTGGTATTTTTTCACACCCCTTTTCATCTAAGGCACAAGTGATTAATACAGTTCACTAATTTCATAAACATCTTCTTATAAAACTTTTAATGTAGTTACCATCAAAGTAAATGCCATAGGCTGGCAAGAATATAACATCCTGCATATTGATTGTCTAAAACTTTCTTCTCAAATTGATCTTGAACTTGTTTGAGTTGAGGAGAGACAGCTTTTCGATAGAGGAAATTAATTTTCATGCCACTGACAGTTGTAATGGGCTGTCCATGTCCATCTCTCCATATATGAAGTTTAAAAACAATGGTTCTAAATTAAGATAAAAGACTTCCACTTGATAAATTAAACAATTAAAAACAGATTAAAAACATTAAAAACAACCCGCTCTTTCTAATTTGTTTGTTTACATTACTATAATCCGGCGATTAACATTTGCGTAGAAACACAAATAGTTCTAATTGTAGAAGAATTCTTGATCACTCAGGGGAAATAAAGTCAATCAGTAAGCAAACTATCCGTCTTAAAACTTTAATCTTAATTTAAGCTTAACAATGACATATCAGTTTTTACATTTTTATTAGATAAATTCAAAAATATCAATACGCAAATACACCTTTTGGTCATGTGACGTATCATGTGACTCTTGACAGTTCTTAAAATAAACCAACACGTGGTACTAGTCTGGAAAAGGCGCGAAAACCTTCTCAATGTCAAAAGGTCGTTGAATTTCAAATTTAAATTGAAAAAAAAATTGCTTAAGAGGAATGGAAAAATTATATTTATGATAAAATTTGTTGATATCTGCCTGCAAAGCAAATCTTTTGTAGGCCCTTGCTATTATATCTGACTTTCTGAACTAAGGAAGTTTTTTATAGCCAAGGTTATAAATTGTAGCCTAAATTTTAAAATATTTTGTAAATGTAATTGTCGGTGTCGTTGGATACTTTGTGGTAAAATCTCGGCACTCGGGTTGCTTTTATGCTCTAAATCCATGAATGATAATGATTTATCAAATAGGTCAAAGAAACTAAAAGTGGATGTGAAAATACGTTTCGGACTAAAATAAACGATGATATAATGTTGTTAAATGTGCCCCAATGGAAATACCCGGATGAGCGGGAAATTCAGCCAATGAAAAACATTGTAACCTTGAGCACGTGCATAATCCCGCCACTATCCTCTTTCTGATGATCGCTGGTTGGATATACTTCGGAACACAGTAACACTGTTGGTTAACCTAATTTACCACATTTTACTGCTGAGATATTTGGATGAGAGTTAGAAAATGGCAGTTGAGACATCAGACATGGAAGATACTCAGCTCGGAGAATTTTTCTGGGGTAAATTTTGAATTGTAAACCGAATCTTGCATATTTACTAAAAATCAAAGACTGGTGATGATCGTATGCCTGTTGTAGGGAAAACACGGATGGTTTTTAGAAAGGGCTTCAAAGGTTGTCCTATGTCCAATACTTTCTGACCACTTGTTACTGAAGAGCATTTTGTCCTACTTTTCCACAACTCATCAGAATAGTTAGGCCTAGGCCTACTCCAAATTTTTAATTGAAAATACTGAACCGCAAAATGATTTTTTTTAGCCAAATCTATACAATGAGTTTTTTCATGTTGTCATTTGAAATATATTAAAAATTAAATTTCCAATGGGAAATGTCTAACCAATGTTTCAGTCCAAAGATGTTTATATCAGTGCTTTATTCCAGGTTGTGAATTGAGTAAAGAAAATCCATCTGTAACATTTTCTATTAAAGAAGAGGATGAGGACAGTGACTTCATGCATCATACACTTTTCGTTAAACATGTATTATTTTTTTATTATTTGATTATTTTGAACCTAACATAGAGTGTCAGTTAAATGTCATGATTCCTGATCTTTCTCATTTCAGATCTATACCATTTCATTTGTGGTAGGGTTTGTTACAATATATTGATAAGAAACAAAGAAAGCTCTAGGTTGACTGTCCTGAAGGTTGATTCAGCCCTGTCGTTAGGGGACTGTTTTGACTGGGCCCCAGCAAGTGACTATTAAACCTCAACAAAACCCTCAGTACAGTAGATTCATTTAAAGTATCTTTTATACAAAATCCAAAAGATATAGATTGATACGTTTTTGGCACCTCAAAATTGACAGTAATAAGTTCTCTGGGCCTTTAATTCTTCAAATTTTCTGAGTACAAAATCCGAACTACAGCACCTAATATTTCCTTGGGTGGGGCTAGGTTGCTAAGGCTTAAAGCTGTTGAATTCTCTCAAAAAGTTGCCTCTTGAAAAGTAGGCTACAATTTAAGTTGTCAAGGAAGTATTAATCTTATTTGGACTGCATCTCTATGAAATAGGGAAAGCCCCTCTTATTTACTTACTGTTTCACAAAGTTAAAGTTAAGATGATAATGCACATTGAAGCTTTACTGAAGCTGAAAGATCACCATTATCAATTTGTCAAAGGTCAGCATGACGAGGAAGTATTTAGTGAGCCATAGATAAAAACATAGCTCAGTCTTGTCAATGTGCCCTTTTCTCCAGAAATTTGAAAATTTCCCTAAACTGTTAGATCCATAAGTTTTTTTTATCATAACCTATTGACTAAATGAGATGATCTTAATAAGGTACTTTTGTTTTTTAGGCAGTATTAGGAGGTCAGGCAGTAAAAGATGAAATTAACATCGTAACAGTTGAAACACAGAACTTTGACAAAGAAACAATAAAACAACCTTTTATTTCTTTGACTAGAGGAGAAAGCAGCATGGTATGAAAATCTCATCATAAAATACTTTGTGTATTTTTAATGATTAGTTCACTCGATTCTCTGTACTGTTAAAAGAAAGAATCTGACAAAAACAAAGCCCAAACAATCACATGCAAGCGCAAACAATATTCCTGAATGCTAATTTCAATAAAAGATTCATTGTAAATGTGAATAACTTGGACTATAACTGGAGCTGGTGATCACTTTCAACAAAAATTCAATGATTTGGTCAGGGTTGCATCACTTTTATGCTGTTTGACTATAAGGCTATATCTAACACCAGATTGTTACCAATAAATTAATGGATTATTATTTTAAAAATTAGTAATATCCCATGGTTTGAATAGTGTCTTGATAATCTAAATTTATTTGATGTATAAGAATGTTAGCATTGGTAGGTTAAGAGAATCTCATAGACAGGTAATTAATGTAGGATTAACACCTGAAAGTGTAGTAGTTACAGATTAATGAAACTGTTTCGAGGGTGTTAACTGGCATTACATTTTGATTTATTTTGACTGAATGCTGACAATATACTCAAGGCAAATCAACTGGCAAATATTCAGAAGAAACACAAATGTAGCCTGAAAACCATCAATTTCAAAACACGGAAGTCTTCCCATTTTTATGGCTGATTTCTCTGAAGCACCTAGTGGGCATGTTTCCTCATCCTTTGATATCATCGATATTATACAATAACAAAAAATTCTCACTGTGAAAATAGTGCTCAATACATCAATATTAGAGCAATATAGAAATATTAATCAATTAAATATGATTCATGTTTTCTGTGCTTATTTACCGTTATTTGTTATTTGTGCTTGTTTGCGCAGTTTCACAAGATAGTACAGGGCTATAACTGTAATCTTTTTGCTTTAAGTTGATAATGGTTGATTAGTTTTATTTCCTTTATTTATTTTCTTGTCAAAATCACCATGAGGCATCTGCCTATATCTGTATTGAAAATGCTTATGGTTCTTCATTTCTCAATCAATTCCATAATACATAATACTCTGTAAAAGTTTCTCCTTTACCATGAATTCGGACATGATCCATGATCCATCTGAAGTGCAAGTTGAAGAACTCGCCATCCGCAAACACTATTGCATTCTGATAATTTGTCTGCAAAGTATGCTCTGAATATTGATGCTGATATTATCCTCAATTGAATAATGTACCAACCTTTACTCAGCCTATAACTTGATTGACTGACTTTTTAAAAATTATTTCAGTGTTATATGGATATATCCTTCACAGATAAATCACCTGTTACATTCTCTTTGTCTGAAGGAACTGGTCCTATATATATCTCAGCTGTACAGTTGGTTGGTAAGGCAATTCCACTTCTTACTGTTAATTTAGTTTATAAACATAGCTAGTTTGAAAACTGACAGTTTCTTTAACTTAAATTCTTTATAAGCCTTGTAGTCTAAGTAATGAGTCTTGGCTAACAAGGCATGACCCAGTGGCATTTCCCAGAAATAAGACTTGCCTGCCTCCTTCCCCCACCACCTTATTCTTTTGGAATGCCTAGTTCAACATTAAACATATTCGGCTTTATCCATACCTCTGCATAAATAGTCCAAAATTAGTTTCTGTTTATGACATAATTTCAGAGTTCCCAGAAGAAGATGCTGATCATACCATGGATGAAGAGGGTTTAACTGAAGAAGAGGAGGAAAGTCCAGTAAGACCTAAATTAAAAACCAACAAACGAAAAGGTGGAGCAACTGTAGGAGCTTCTAAAGCCAAAGTAAGTAAATGTTAGCGATGTCCGGATGCTTACATAAGAGTAAGACACTTGCTCGCTGACCTGGAGGTCAATAACAGCAACCTTTCAGATTTCAACCAAGTTTCCTTTTTGTCAGCGATGCAGGTTAGAGGGACGGACATTGAAAGATCATGTAGTCGTTTGGATGAGACTATAAGGCCCTGTGTGCTAGAGGATGTCTTCATTAGCCCAGTATATGCAGTAGGATGTTTTCATAAAAAAATTTTTATTTACATATTGTAAATGAACTTACGGAATTTCTTTTGTTAGCAGAGAAGCAAAATGGAAGCTGATGATGACGAAGATGAGGATGAAAGCGAAGAGGTAAGATCAAAAGGTGTGGTCTTTGAAAGTTTGGTTAATAAAATGATGTGCCTGTATTTGATACTCCTCATAGACATTGTCACAATGGATGAGAAAAAGTATAGAGATAAAAAATAAATTAGTGCTTAAGTAGAATGTATGAATTAAAATTGCTATCTTGCATATTCTAGTGCAACAAAGACCTTCTGTTCAATGGGAGACTTGAGTACTAGAGAACCTGAGAACCATCCTTTCAATATAAAGAGATCAGATGTTCGATGATTTAATCAATATTTATTAATGCACAAAATTAACATATCAATTACAAGATTTCTATATAACATGGATTAAGAAAAAAGACCGAAGCTTATGTAAATTGTCTATGATGTTAAAGGATTAACTAATTACATTTCAATAAGTTATTCAGATTCCAACTCTTGTCTAACTTGTCCCTGGATTTATATTTGTGTAATGTGTTTAGGATGAAGAGGATGAGGACGAGGAAGATGATGATGAAGAGATGGAAGATGAAGAGGAAGAACCATCTCCAGAAAAGTAATCTTTTCTTTTTATGAACCTAAATGTCTATTGTTTGCAGACAAGTTTTATCCGTATCAGATACAAAATATATATTTCTAAATCATTTATGTGAAAATCTATTTTGCCACAAATGTCCATTAGTAAGGCACAAAAAATTAGGAAGTTTGATAAAAAAAAAAAAACATAGTGTCTTTAAGAAATGCAATGTATATTTGTAGCACATTGACATAGGGTACAATCTGTACCTCTGTAAACTATGCATACCTTTCTGTACAGAATTTTGTCTTTGAACTATTCATTTATTTTTCTCTTTTGTAGGAAAAAAGGAGCAAAGAAAAAGGTATGTGAAGGCTGAAATTTATGTCTTGTGTTGTCAGGATTCCTAAACAGTAAAAACACATTTGTCAGATGCCATATTTAAGGTCACAATTCTGAAATTGCTCAAATTGCTTAGAAACTAAGACTGCCAACATATCCACTATTTAGAGATCAGACCAAATCAGACATGTGCCATTTTGGAGGGTAGATTTGGTTCAGAAGTACTTAAATGTATGAAAATTGCATAATTCCCAAAATATCTGAAACTAGGAATTTGTTTTCATATTTCAATAGATGTCTTAAAACACAACTGTCTTTAATTTTCAAACGAGGATAATTCTGGACACGCGTGAATTTGAAGACTCAAATTTCAATGGTGACTAAAGTATAACTATTATGTATTCTCCTTACTTTAGTACACTCTTCATACGTGTTCCAAGAAATGTCTTGTTAAATACAGTTCAATAACTTTGAATTGAGATTGCAAAAAGTTATTAATACAAATTTATTGACTACATAGTAACATAATTCTCTAGTATCATTGATACCGCAGATAATTACTCAAAACAGAACTTTTCTTGTAATCAAATTGTCCATTTAATATGAAAAAAATTTCAGAATGCAAAGGCTGGTGGAAAAGGTGCAGCTAAAAAAGTTGAGAAACCAAAGGTAAGCATCAGCATCTAATCATTAAGGTCTGGACATAGAATGGCATTAATATATTCAACAACCCTAGCAAACCGAATCATAAATTTGTTAATTTGACAATTTGGATATAAGAATCTAGGTATCCAGATCGTAATGTTACTGATCAGGTGCACTTTTTATACGCCAAGAAAAGGGTGGCATATATTGGCGTCGCCTATGTCAATCGGCCTGCCCACAATTGCTAGTAAACACTCCAGAAGTCGCAATTTTTGACGGATTTTGACAGACTTGGTGTGAGAGTTTGTAATCACTCAAAGATGGACCCTATTGAAAATCAAAAAAAATATTTAATGAGTTATTGCCCTTATTTTTGGAAACGTGTTCAATTTTTAGCTTGTAAACTTATTTGATGGCACAATTCTCGACGGACTTGGACTTAACTTGTTGAAATTGTTTATCACCTATGGATGAAAAATCAAAAGCTATTTTATCATGTTTTATTGACCTTGCTCTTGAAAATGCATTCAATATGTTGTTAGTGAACACTGAAGGCTCGATTCTTGGAGACATTGTATGCTTAAGTCTTCAGTTGGTAGCTGAATTGACTGTTGTATTGAATCTTATCCAATTGATAGAGATAAAATCTACTCCAAATCAACCTTGGAACGGTTATTATTCTTTGTACCGGTACCACATGATTTTGTTTTTCAGAAAAAGGCAGCAGCTAAGAAGTCAAAGAAGTGATTTGAGATGTTTTAAACTGAGCTAGAACAAAATTTTGATTATTGTTAATTTGTTTTAAATTTGAATCAACAGCAATTAAAGTGCTTCTTAATCATCTTCTAACGATATTTGTTTCTTTTCTGCTTATAAGGCTCATGCATTTTCTGCAGTCTGACAGATAATGTGCTGAACTAACCATATAGGCTACTGTTTTCCGACTTATGTAAACATACTTTAATAGCCTTATTGGGGTATCAAAATGACTACACAAGACTTCCTTCAATGTAGCACTTTTTGCTGGTCCTAATGGCATTGCCTGTCACTGATTCCATTAACATACCCTTGTGTGCTGCTTGTAAGTTCATGAAGATAAATTTTTATTTTGCTAGCCTTGACAGAATGCTTTTTAGATGCTTGCTTTCTAACCTGAGGTTACAGCAGTGGTGTATTAAAGACGAAGCCAGAAAAGAATGAAAAATTTATTCATTCACTGTCAATATGGAGTTGAAAGTATTCTGTCTTCCTCAATTTTCTACTATGACGAGTGTCCCGCTCAAATAAAAAAAAAACTCGTCTGAGGTGCTCGGATGGCTCAATGAAATCCTGGCTACGCTACTGAGCATAGGTGCATCATTGCTGCAGTTCAGCACTACGACAGCAGGCCTGCCGTGAAACAGGTGGAGAGGGACATTAAAGAAGGGCCATTTGTTAACATAAAGTAGGCCTAATAGTAGCTAGGCTAATGATGCTGTCCTGGCATTTCTAATTATGTGCTAATAAGTAGGATGTAAAATTTCATTTACATTCATCATTGGTCTGTAAAAGTATATGTGCATCTCTACATCCAGCGCTCACAAATGTCAAAATCTGCATAGTCTTTGGAATCGGCTGGTAAACTGAATTTGGAGGTACATAACAGAGCCTATATAAACATACAGGCTCTGGGTATAAGCACGAAAGTTACCTCCCCTTTGTCCTTGCCTTAATAGCTAAATCAAATTTGGTTATGCAGGCCCATACGAAACTTCGCATCTTGCCTAGCTCCGTATAGTCGCAGATAGGTAGAATTTCCCTGTTGATCAGGATGATGCCGGCCTTATCCCTCCGGGCTATTCAGTAATTTCTTTGCAGGCCTAGGCTCTATTAAAATATAGCAATACAATTACAAAGGATCGAATTAGTCACTTTTGAGGACCAAACCTGGCGACTGAGCCTATGACCTTTCCATTGCATTTCGTATTACTCCTGTGCGTAGATGACCCTTTCATGAATCGATGGCGATATGGCAGACCATAGAACTTTACTGTTCTAACTTCTATAGGCCACAGTATACAGTTCTATGTATAGGCAGACTAACTAATGTTCTATTAAATTCACCTACATTCTGACAGCCTGATTGGTCAACATTAGACGAATCGAATCAGTTTCGTTTCAACCAGGAAGTGTTCACGAGTAGGCAATCAAAAATGGATTCATTGCACATCCTTAACAGGTCCGGTTGGAGTTTGTTCCCGTGTTCGGAAAGTTCGGATACGCAGGTAGGAGTTTGAATTAATTTATGGGAAAATGTGGGAATGTTTTGTCATTGACCTACTTACTTATTATTGTAGGGACATGGGTTTTGTCTAAAAATTATATAAATAGTATGATATTGATATTGCTAGTCTAACTAAGTTATAGATAGGCCTACGCCTTTCGTGTATTAACAAATAATGAAATATCATTATTAAGCTGTAATGAATATTACTATATTCGTATGTAATAGGCTACTTGATCAGAAAAAGCTTGAAGATATAAAGCCAAATCACTTGAGTGAAGACTCCAAGTACTAAAAGCTATGGCCATTCTTTCTACTAATACTATTGTATGTAATCGTGACTATCCTACAATATAGGATAGGATATAAAAATGTAAATAAAGCATACATGCTTATGTTAACTAGAATACACCCACTCTTTTGTACATATATGTGCCAAGATATCAGGGGCGGCAATCCGCTTTGCAAACAGGGGAACTGGTTGAAAGGATGAGAAAGGGAGGGGGAGTTGGGGAACAATTAGGGAACTGTTTTTTGAAGATTGAAACAACATTCTTCCTTGATTCTGCACAATGCAACAATCTTCAAACTATTTGAAAAACATGATTATTATTATTTCATAGGGCGATCCTAAAATATATATTGCCCCCCATGAAAAATAGCCATTTATGAAAATTCAATTCATTCATACAATTGACCTGGATGTTATATTCACTTCATTCATTCAATTGACCACTATAGTTTGTAAATATTAATCAGTAAATAGATATGATCGATCATCGTGATATACATCGATAATGAAAATGGCCGACGATAATCTCCGGCATTATATGGTTTTGATATATTGCACATTGGAGGTACCTCCTAGAGAGGTTAAGAGATAATAGTAGGCCTATTTCATGTTCCACAAATAGTTTGAACGATTTTTGCATTGTGCAGTCACATGCATTCTGCATTAGCCCACTCTATTCATTTCTGACTGTTGAGAAACCTGTAAAATCTGTATCACGTATTACCACGATTTATTTGTCAGACAGATCCAACCTGTATTATGGATGAGTGATTTTCATTCTGATATTATAGTATTTATAAATAGCATGCTGAAGAAATGTAGTCATCACGTCCTCGAGCTTCTGCAGCTGAAATTTTTCAGCCATTAATGCACACAGGTTGACTTAATAGAATCTTCCAAATGCCTACAGTTGCTTGTTGTCTTAAAATCTGGTTCACTGTTATTTAGGCACACATGTTTAAGGTAAAAAATCAGACTCTTTTGAGGCACATGGATAGTTAGACACAATGCTAATAGGCACATTTATTTAGGCACATTCATTTAGGGTTACTAATAAGTCATATAACAGAAAACACAATGGAATATAATATGGTATAACACACTTCTTTAATAACAATGTACATAACTTTTCATCACATTTTACATGTGTAGTCATCAGATGAAATGAAGGAGGAAATATGTAAATAGTGTTGAAAAGTTATGTACTTTGTTATTAAATAACTAAATAACATTGTGCCTAAAAAGAGTGTCTTAAGTATTGTGTCTTACTAACTTGTGCTTAAAATATTTGTGCCTAAATAACTATTTACCAAAAATCCAGTTGTCCTTAGATTCTGTATGTTGCAAGGTTGACTCAAGTCTTCTCCTTTAAATGTTTCTCATTTCCAGTTATAGTTTGTACAGTTGTCTGATATCCTTAATTAGATTTCCTCTCATTATCTTAAAATTGCTATTTTCAATAAAAAAAACAAAAAAAAACTTGTTTCTTCCAACCTAAGAATATCATCCAAAAGAAAACACAAAAACCTGGGGCTTTTGCTAAAATTATTAAACCTTAAGAGAAAAAAAAGTGGGAAATCCCCATGTGTGTTGTAATAAATTAGACCTGAATAATTTGACCTGACCCTAAATTTTTATAAAAATAATTTGAAGATTTCTTTTTTAAAATTTCTTTTAAATTTTCAATACACTTTCACAAAGGCCTGAGACATTTTTAATAGCTTCTTTTATCAAAGTTACGTCATTATAACACCTAGTTTAATTGGAATTACATAAACTACAGACAGTCGACTGAGAATTAAAAAGATGCAAATCTATGCTATCAGTGTAACCAATACACATAAAAAGTCCTTTTATGAGTTTTTGTGAATAAAGTCATGCCATGCATTCTTGTGTTGCATGACAACTGAATAATAACAATAACATATTGAAATGTGCAGTATCATAGAAGGATGTTTGTATCTTTGTCTTCACATTTGGTTGCTGTTTGAGGAAATTTATTGAAAAAAAGTGAACAGGAAGTTTTACAGGTAAAAAACCCCGACTAATCTCTAACTATCTTTAAAAATAAAATTTCTCTTCCTGGTTATATCAATAACTTAAATGTCCGACATTATGTAAGCTTTGGGAATATACAAGGGGTTTAGCTTATTCAAATTGAGGTAAGAATTTACAAAGTTTTATAAAGACCATGACAATTGTTTACATAAGACATCAATGTATTGTGTGTCTCTTTATTGTCTAAATAAAATGCAGATCTTGATCATGAATAGAGGCTTGTGGTTATTTCATTTCCTCAATTGTAGATGAACTAATTTGATCATTTCAAAAAGTGATTAGTGCTCTGTTGATATCCATATATCAATACTCAAAGAAATGATATCATAATCTCTCTTTGATAATTAATATTATCACAGTAAATAATATAATCCTGTCTTATTCCACTTTTCCTCAATATTTGATGATTTATAGGGGCAGTAATGCAAACTTTTCATTATAAAAACCGTTGTTAGTTAAATGTGAAAAGATTTCTAAATATGATCATCTATGTATCTACTTGAATTAGTTTTGAAATGGGTTAATGATAAATACAAAGTGTGCTAATTGCTTAGTAAGAAGTTTAAACATGTTATATAATGTATTAATATTAATAGCTCCAGATTATTAGTTGAAACCAGAATAAGTCAGAGACACATATCTCTACCATAAGGCGTTAATTTTTCTTAAATTCTGTACAGTAGTTGTCCTTCACCTACCATATTCCAATGCTGAACTCTACAATCTTTATACATGAGAAAGCATAACAAACTTAATAAGGTTATGTCAACATTTTGACATAGTTTTTTCTCTAAAACTTGACAGGAAGTTATTTTAGTTCAAACTTTTAGAAAAGGTATATTTACATGTAGAGGAGATAAGGTTGGCTTAATAGACCAGTTATCCCTATATTATCAGTGACTAGTTTTGTTCGTTTTGGAACTCTTCAGACTGATGAAAGCTCACTCGGCAGGACCTGCCTTATATACTGTTCGACCCCGGTGGTTATCTTACAATCATTATCATGCCTATTATTCTGGTGCTCAAAAATTATTATCTCCTACAAAAGAATAAATCTCATAAAACTCATGAGATGAAATTTTGTTTTAATCAAGAAACCAAGCATTTCCCAGTTAGAAATTTATAATCTCTACTGCCATAACGACTATTATACCCTATTTATCATTCTTCATGAGTTATCATTGCTAATAAAGTTTAATTGGTGGTGTTATTATAATCACTGGCATGCCAAAATGACATTTATTCATTATAACACAAAATTATTGTGTGCAGAAGGATTATGAATGTACGACAATGAGAAACCAATGATCCAAAGTATGGAACTTGACTTAAGCACTAACATAGGCATAAGAGATGAGGGGGCAGCTCTATGCCTATGAGCACAAAACAAGTTTGAGCATTTTTGTTAACTTGTTAACATTGAAGGCACATGCCATGAAGTTAATCATAAGCTCATTGACTTCATTTTAAAAACACTCTGCATAGATCATCAGCATGAGACAGGTGGGGTGTGGAGGGGGTATGGATATTGTTGCTGAGTAGGGGCCACAGAATCAAGGGGGAAGGGGTACTTAAAGCTACATGCTAAGAAGTCTCATTCAATGTGGGGTCATTGTAGTAATGCCACTAGGAGACCATTGTTAACTAGACAATGTGGACAGACAACTGAATATTTTAGAATAATGGTGTGTTGAGCTGAACTCTTCAAAATGGCTGTTTTAAGTTCCAGAGAATTGTGCTTGGTACAGTGGCAGTTTGCTGTGGTCAGAATGTGCTATATTGTATAGAAAGAATACATATTAATATTTGTTAAGTAGTTTCCTGGTTAATAACAATTAAAATCTAATTTATTGTTTTTATAGTCAGCTAATCAAAGAAAAGTTATAAATTTTATTTTAAAACAGTAAATGTATGGGTTTTTGATTTAGAGAATTTGACAGTTGTAGCCTATACATATCATGTGAACTGCATAATGTGATAAAATATATTATTCTTAAAGGGGAACTGTCTGCAATCATATTGTAGTTTGTCTTTCATTGCCACCATTATGTCGGCTGGTGTATAGACAGAAAAAATAGGCCTTGTGAAATGGAGACATTGAATATGCAAAACCCAGATATATTTGGAAAGATGAATAACTTTGTATTTTAGTCATACCATCCTTTTCTCCCTACACCATTTATGTCAAGTCTCTAGTTCCGTTAAATTTTGTTTTTTTTAACGAAACTGGTCTCAAATTAGCCATTTAAAACTGTGTTCCCAGCAAAAAGTTCAAAGGTCACAAAGTCACGTGAAAGTTACAGCGATGCCAAACACTAATCATCATCAAGGTAATTTAATATGTTAGAAAAAACGTATCTTCGGAGGTATAGAAAATCCCCATTTAACAGGGTCTACTTTTTCTGACTCTAATTTAGACGACCACTGTCAAAATATCCATCAGAGGCTGGAATAAGGGCATATGTTTCGGACTAGTATGCAATATAACAATTTATGCATGTATATAAATTTCACATACTGACTGTTATTATTAGAATCTCTTTTAATTGTTAAGTTTTCGTGACATTTCAGAGATCAGATGAAAACTTATTGTTTACGATATAATGTGTCAGAAAAGTAAAAATTTTTTCAAACAAAAAAAATTCATTGTGTTTCATGTTATTTTTTTATGGTTTAAAAATTTATTAGCATTTTGAACAAAGCTATGAATGATTCATGAGAATATGTTGTCTATACATGTAATTTCATTACCAGACGTCTGAATTGAACACTACATCAGTGTTGGTGAAGGAACATTGAAAGTAGGTTCACTGATGGAACACTTGCAGGTTTTCTTCTTAATAAATTTTTTTTAGAGGTAAAATAAGGTTAAAAAAATCTTTTAAATATGATGGCCAATCAACAAATCCAATACTGTGCTGCTCGAGCTGCTTGATTGCTATCAGTATGAGCATTCAATCATTTCATGCCAAATTTGCTACCATGACACTCTTTAAAACAGAGTGTTTTGTCTGAATTAACTGTCCTATTAAAGCTAGGAATGGTCCTATTTTAAGCTACAATTAATCCTATAGAAACTAGAAATGATCCTATCGAAGCTAGAAGTGATTCCATTGAAACTAGAGATGATCTTATTGAAGCTACAATTGATCCTATTGAAGCTACAATTGATCCTATTGAAGCTACAATTGATTCTATTGAAACTAGAGATGATCCTATCGAAGCTAGAAGTGATTTTATTGAAACTAGAGATGATCCTATTGAAGCTACAATTGATACTATTGAAACTAGAGATGATCCTATCGAAGCTAGAAGTGATTCTATTGAAACTAGAGATGATCCTATCGAAGCTAGAAGTGATTCTATTGAAACTAGAGATGATCTTATTGAAGCTACAATTGATCCTATTGAAGCTACAATTGATCCTATTGAAGCTACAATTGATCCTATTGAAGCTACAATTGATTCTATTGAAACTAGAGATGATCCTATCGAAGCTAGAAGTGATTCTATTGAAACTAGAGATGATCCTATTGAAGCTACAATTGATACTATTGAAACTAGAGATGATCCTATCGAAGCTAGAAGTGATTCTATTGAAACTAGAGATGATCTTATTGAAGCTACAATTGATCCTATTGAAGCTACAATTGATCCTATTGAAGCTACAATTGATCCTATTGAAGCTAGAAGTGATTCTATTGAAACTAGAAGTGATTCTATTGAAACTAGAGATGATCCTATTGAAGCTACAATTGATCCTATTGAAGCTAGAAGTGATTCTATTGAAACTAGAAGTGATTCTATTGAAACTAGAGATGATCTTATTGAAGCTACAATTGATCATATTGAAGCTACAATTGATCCTATTGAAGCTACAATTGATTCTATTGAAACTAGAGATGATCCTATTGAAGCTAGAAGTGATTCTATTGAAACTAGAGATGATCCTATTGAAGCTACAATTGATACTATTGAAGCTAGAAGTGATACCATTCTTGTTTGAACAACATAACTTAAGTTTGTTAGAAAAAGATTATTCACAACTGCATTGATTTTGTGGTATTTTTCTTTCAGATGTAAAATAAGCTAACTACTCATGGTGTGGTATAATAACCACTGGAACCATGAGTTGGATGAGTTATTTTGGTGAAAATGGCTGAAAGATTAGATGGTAGAAGCACACTGGGAAACACGTCATTTCCTAGCAGTGTTGGAAGTTCGAGCGGTAGTGAAGGCTATGACCATCTACAAAGAGTTGAAGGCTATGATTATGAATTTGTACCACCTCCTGATTCCAAATATGAATGTGTTATTTGTTTATTGGTGTTACGGGAACCACAACAAACTAAATGTGGACATAGATTCTGTAAAGTCTGCATTATTAAATGGCTAAGGTGAGTACAACTGTTTAACCTCTTGTGCTCTTAAATGCCGGCGCTCTCTAATTCTGTTCCCTACATCCTGTCACATCATTTTTTGTTGTCACATAGTTTTCACTTTATCATTGTTTGAATGATATAATCTAATTTTTCATAGGCCAACAAATTTTTAATCTTGACTTGATTGAATTTGATAGAGAGTAAACACAAATATAAAACCAATATGAAGTTCACTTTTGAATATAAACACCTGTGATATTAATCTATAGCTCATTCCATTTTCAAATTTAAACCCCTTATCTAAACTGATTTTCTTAAAACTTTATATGAAGGTTAATGACCAAAAGAATGATGCAGACTAAGATGTCTTGTTTCACTACTGACATTCTAAAAGTGTGATGTGATGTTATGTGATCCACTATCTTATACTCTTGTCTAATGTGTCATACAAAATCTTTTTCTAATTAATAAACACATAAAAACCATAATATCAGAAACATTTGATAGCAAGCTCATGATGATGTTTTTAAAGATAACAATGATTTTGTTCATTTGAGTACTTAATTGTGACATCATGTAATAAGATGAGGAGGAGCCCTGTTTATTATCTTAAAAGATATTATTGTATAAGATATGTTTGCTGGGTACATTCATTTGAAGGGGCTTTAAAATTATGTATTTAATGGACTATAGTTTGACTAATACTTCAAATTCAATGAATTACATGATTACTTTGTTTAATAACTGACACACCTTTATCTGTGTAAATCCATCTCTATGTTTATTCTTGTCATAGTTTGTGATTGAAATTGTCAGAGTTTCTCCAAAATATAGGAAATAATGCATGAAATATAACTTTATTCAGCAAAAATTGAATCAAAATTTAAATTTGAAGTCATTAAATGATAGCTTAAGATATAAGATCAATTAACTCAGAATGTGTAGTACGACTGGTCGACTGCAGCACAACAACATGTGTTAAGGAGGCTTAAAATACAGATGTGATGTCACCCTTTGATATCAGCGTACCATTATCCAACATAATGGAACTGGCAAATGGCCACGAGTCCAATATTGACATTAATAATGGACTCCAACTATTGGACTCTTGATTCTTTGCCAAGTAAATGTGACCTATTTTATAAATGTATTCATGATTGACTTGGCTTCAAATAGTATGTTCACACTAGTCATAATATATATACGATGTAGGTTAAAGCATCGATCTAAGATTTATTCTTAGAAATAGAATATTATTCTTATTTTGTCAGAAATAAAGCACTAAAATATCTTCATAAACAACACAAATATTTCAAATTTGTTACAGCCAAGGGAATAATAATTCTAATAGCTCGGTCATCCTTGCCACTAATTGCTTATAAAATTTATGCAAAATGTAAATCATGAAACAATGACGTAAATGCCATGATAGTGGTATATTTAGGGGCCTTGAATTCTCCGCCTTCCTAAATTAAAAAAATTTTACAAGGGATCCATAACATATCTAGTGTCCTATTAAATCCAAATAGGAGAGCCAAGGGCGCTTGGATACCAGCGCCGTCAATGAAATCCTCACTACGCTTTTGGACATGAATCTTGTATTTCGATTCTGAAATACTTGAATAAGCCATAAGGGAAAGGGAAAACTGGCCTGTAGACATACATATCCAGATTGTAATCCATGAATCACAGTCCAGATATACGAATTGAAATAAGTAAAATATCCATTTTAATCCATATCTGTATCATTTATAATGAAATGAACAACAAAGCAATAAGGAAATAATAGTATGTAACTCGAACAGGTATATTTTTTTTTTATTTTCCCAACTGGAAATTTTGAAAAATTGACTGTATTGTTTGGCATGTGATTGGATCTCATGTGACCTATATTATAGCATGTGCCTGAGTCTATGTAATTGTTTGTGAACTGTATTTTAAGTTGGTTAATGGTCTCAAGCTTGTCAATACGTCTAATAATGGCGTAGTACTCGGACCATTGGTCCTCGTCCAACAACCATTATTAGACTTATTGACAAGCTTTCGACCATTAACCTTTACATAGTTAGATGCTTGTATTTTGGATTTGTCCAGCCATACGTCAAGATACTACCTTTTGATTTTTCAATACCGAAATATAGTGATATAACATATGGTATATAGTTATCAAGATATATTGTTAAATTTTTGTCCAGATAAGATCATCTACACAATTACAAGTAACTTAACATCAAGACTTGGGTGTTTTGTTGAAAGATTTATTATTTTTGCTTACATTTAAAATTCTTGGATAGAAAAAAAAACAACATTTTGTTTTCACATTTTAATAGAAAATATTACAATATAAACCCATATCATGATATATTTATTAAAGCTTAATATGGTGTTATCATCTTGAATCAATATTGCTCAGCCCTAAATCAAAGTTTTTAATTCTATATTTCAGAGAGTCCAATAAGACTTGTCCAGTTGACAATGCCAAGATAGTAGAGAGTGACTTATTTGCAGATAATTTTGCTAAAAGAGAAATCCAGAATTTTAATGTTCGTTGTCCAAATAAAAGTCAAGGATGTGAGAAGATTGTCATGTTGAATTTAATACAAGTAGGTCAAGATTGTTCAAGTCCAACAGTTGATATTTTTCAGGCTCCCACTTTCCAAAGCAAAATGGCAGCTTCTTGTATCAATCAGGAATTCACATGGTTTTATCTAATTTGTCAATAATTGTGCCACCTTAGGAGTGTACAACATATGCAAAGTGAAAATAGAACAAGGGCAATAACTGCGATTTTATTTTAGGATTCATCCTTTAGTGTTAATTAACCATTTCTCTAGGTTTCATCTAGATCCATTTAAAATTGTGCCTGGCAGATTGAGGCACAGACTAACTGAAAGAGCAGATATTCTTGATGCCATTTCATGTTGGCATATAAATGAGTATAGGGAAGTGATGGCAGTGCCCTTCTCCCTTGTATGATGCTGAAAATACAGTTAGCTTTTATTGACTTGTAAGGGAATCTAAAGTTGGAATTTTCACTCTTTGGTAGCCTATAGATAGCTAGAATTGAATTAAGTCAGCTAATGAAATAAATATATCTACAAGAAGTTTTTCAAGTACCCTCTGTGATTTTTACTTGTAGTGCCCATGGTTTGGAAAATATATTGTTATCAAACTGTGTAAATACTTGAATAAGTCACTTTAGCTTGGAATAATCAATATCATCTTCAAACCAAATCAATAAATCACTTCTATTTTATTGGAAAAGAATCTGAATTTACTATAAATTCCCCTTTAATTTCATAGAAGGTTTAGTAGGATAAATTTAAAATTTCTTTTGATAAAGTTTTATATATCTCTATGCATATATATAGTCTTTATTTGAGGTACAATTTTTGTAAAAATCCCCTTTTTAAAAGGAGTAATTGAATCAGGAAGTAAGTTTACTCACATGTTATATTAGTAGGTTAAGTACCTTTAAAAGTACAAAGAGGTTACTACATGTCTTTACTATGTCCTCGTATAAAATATATAGATCTTACATATTTCTACCGTGTTTTCTTTTAGCAGTTTAATATTCATGATGTCACATGATCTAGTAAAAAAATTGTACTTGTGAATAATGCATGGGCACCGACAAACCCTCTCATATGAAAAAAAAGTCAATTTGTTTCACTACTACCTCATACAAAGCTATTTGGATAAAGTGAACTAGGGTCCTATCTATTTATCCTATTTTCACAATGATGAGGTATAGTGAGAGATGATAATAAAATAGTTATACATGGTACTTGCCTTCTTGTGTTTCATGAAGAAGGGCTTTTTAGTATATTTTTAATGAGTATAGGAAAGTAGCACCAGTCTATCAATTTTCAACTGTCCAAGGATCTTGAATGTGCCTAGAGGTATTTTCCTTTGTCTTGTGTGCAATACATTGTGATTGTATGAAGATTTCTGCTTCGTTGCAATTAACTTTAGCTTGGACCGTAAATACTATGTCTGGTTTTATTTCAGAAACATATAGAAGATTGTCCGTTTGGTTTGATACCATGTTCTAACAATTGTTCTGATATCTTACTACGCAGGGATCTGAATCATCATCTATCATCAGTATGTTGTTACCGACAGATCACTTGTCATTCCTGTTCCCGTCGACTTACTTATAATGATCTACAGGTACTCTATATCTTTCTTACATGATGTTTCCTGCTAGGAACACAGAATATTAATGTCATAACTTGTCCTGATTCCACAGTGCTATTAGTAGTCTGTTGTTTGAACATTGCTTTCAGGAAAAAAGTTTGAACTCTCCCACTTTTTCTTAATGGCATATTGTTATGTTTGTTTACATAATTGTATGTGTAAACTAAAACGACCACAAAAATAGTTATTACCGTAACCTCCTTGTCACGTACAATGATAAAGATATTCATGTTATAAATAAATTGTTACTTTGTAGAAACATGAATTTGATTGTCCAGAAATAATTGTGGTCTGTGAAAAGTGTGATAAACAACTTTTGAGAAAATGGGTATGTATTGTTTTTACTTGTAATTTCTAATAGACAACTCTGCAAGTGATCTGTTACAATGACTACTATAAGATGAAGAGTGAAACAAAGATAGACATAAGCATTTTATACAACAACTGAGGTTCACAGGCTCTTCTCTACAAGCTGTTGCTTGGCCAAACCCTTGGCATTGATCTGTACTGCTGAAAAGAGACTTTTCTGCCCTTCTCAAGTCAAATTGAATGAAATCAATAAGCTTCTTTGGATATGGCTGATCTGAATTCACTGGTTGTTGAAAAATATATAATTGGCCGAAAAAAATACAACAGCTCTGTTATCACCGTTTTCATTGTGCATCACCAACAAAAAATTGGGCATGTCCATGACCAGTGGCCAGATCCTGGATAGAAAGGGAGCTTTCACTTAAGGCTCACAGCTAGTTTGTTAAATCTTGGTTTGTATCAAATCAGTAAGCAATCTGCTCAAGGCTTAATTTGGATTACCGGTATTAGATTTAATTAGCAATATGGGTCGTATAATCTATAATAAAAAAATCAGCATTTTGAAAAAATAATCTTAATCATCCTGGAATTGAAAGACAAAGGTAACTTTCTCATGACAAATTCATTTGCAGATGGTATTGATAGATTTTGATTTCGTCTAATTAAAGAAAATAAATGACAGCAAAAAGGGTCAGTTTGACTTGCAAAGTGTCATGCAGTAGCACTTTAATTGAACATTTGAATATTTGTTTTTACAGAAACAACATCATGAAAACACAGAATGTTTAAAAACTGTGGTAAATTGTATGTTTCAACCTTTAGGATGTCCACAGCAGGTAAATAGTCTTGATATATTTATCAAAATTTGATTAGTTATTTATATTTAAAAGCTCTGTAGTAAGAGTGACATGTCAACAAGTGTTTTTATACGTCCACATTATAATGTCAGAATTTTATTAAATGATAAATTAGATTTTTGGTACGATTTGACACAGATAGGTGACTGCCCTTGATATACTGAAAATTATCCTGTCTACGTCTTGATATCAGCTTTTTTATATTTTGCATCCTTAATGAGTATGGGTATTATTGACACTGATAGCATTTTGCTGAAGTAATATCAAAGGTCTTGTGCGATAGTGACTTCATATTTGGTTTAGGTTTAGTGCAATTGCTGAAAACACAATTTACAAAACCACTTTTGTAAAGATAGACTTGTGTTGTATCAACAAATTTCTCTCATTTGTGTTGTAGTATACATGTCATGAACTAATTGAAATGCTTGTAAGCATTCTGATACTTTGACATTTGCCTCTTCATATAATGACACCTTGCCATAGTTTATTTATGTCATATCTTTAAAATTGAAAGAAATACATTCACTCAGTTAGGTTAACCAGCTAATTGACATCCATGTTAGCTATCTGAAGTACTTTTTAGAATGGAAATAAGGCCTTTTATTGATTTGATAAAACAACTTCAGATGTAACATCTGTAGGATTTTCTATAGGGAAAATGACAATAAATTAGTCCTTCATTTAGCTGTCACCATGTCTGTAACTTATAACAATTTGATTATATTTATTGTAAACAAACTAAATACTTGGTTTTCAATCTGAAAAGTGATATTGGTGGCTCAATCAGGATCTATCTGCTGGTAAGAGGAAAAAAAGACAAATATGATATATCCCTTGGCAAGAAAAATTCTTCATGATGTGAATTTCTATTTTATTAGGAAGCAAATGAAAGTTGTTTTTCTTGAGGTTTCTGAAAGTTGGTTGTGAGAGAAGTTCTGAAAAAGTGGAAGAACACACGTTATAAATAAGGACAATTTGTAATCTTTCCTTATTTTTTTTTCAAGATGGAAAGACAGACAATGGAAGAACATATGGAGAAAGGTTTATCAGATCATATGAAAATGTTATGCAGTGAAGTTGTTCAGATTAGTCGTTGTTTGGGACTACCTACAGGACAAAATTACAATCCCACGGATAATGGATCAATATCTGGTATGCAAGCCACACAAATGTCAGAAGATTTGAGTCGAATTGGTAACGCTTTTGGTCAAATGAATCTTCAGTATCAACAAAGACGGTCAGGTGATCAAAGTGAGGTGATGAAAGTGGCGTCAACAGAAGACTCTCTAGTGATGTCAGCCAATACTGAAATAGTTCATGATAGTTACTCCTCCAAACCTACCTTATCAGAAGGCCTTGAGTGTGCCCCTTTCACTATGTTAAAAAGCTACACTTCTGTGGACATAGATTTTCAGTCTTTGAAAAAGGAAAACAATTTACGTGATAGTAGTTTAGCAGAGCATGGACAGGAAATTTCTCAATTGAATGACAAGTTTCGAGAGTATGAACGGATTAATCGTGATTTGAAACAAAGAGTGAAATATTTAGAAAGTTGTATTGATGAACGCGATGGACGTTCTTGTAACGGAATTTATTACTGGAAAATAAAAGACTACAGTAAATTACGGCGTGAAGCTCAGCTTGGCAATATGCCAGCCATTCATAGTCCACCATTTTATTCTAGTTTCTATGGTTACAAACTATGTGTACGTGTTAATTTAAATGGAGTGGATAGTGCAAAAGGATCATTTTTATCAATATTTATCCATTTTTTACAGGGTGATTTTGATGATCTATTAGACTGGCCATTCGCTGGTCGAATAATTCTATCAGTAATTGACCAAAACAGTACTGCTGATTATCGCAGTCATATTGTGGAAACATTAATCGCCAAACCTACATTGGCTGCATTTCAAAAACCAACCACCACACGTAACCATAAAGGATTTGGGTATATGGAATTTGTGCCTTTACATGTGTTAGACAAAGGACAATTTTTGAAAAATGACACATTGATAATAAAAGCACATGTTATTCCTAACAGTTAGAAACTGTTTACTTTAATAATTATATATTACAAATATTATGTTTACTTTATCAATCCACAATTTGGAAGTGAATTTTGGATTGATTTCAGCTTAATTATATTATTAATATACCAAATCAATATTCTGAAGTTTCAATGTGGCATCAGGTGTTCTAGAAGAGTACGAGCATGATCTGTTTTGCTCACTTCACCCACTGAAGTATTTATTATAGTGGAGCTCAAATTCAATCAAGTTTTGAATTTGACTCGGCTTCAAGAATTTTGCTCTCAGATACATTCATAAATAATGATAAAAACAAAATTAGCCAATAAGAATTCTTGTATTACCATTACCATTATTGCAATTGTGCTGTCTGTCAGTTGACTAGTTTAATAGTTAAATTTCTGAATACACAGTTTAAAGGAATAGTAAGTTTTCAGAATTTCAGATCACTGATGATTATTCTCATTTTGTCTTAAACACAAAATTAACTTCACCTGACATCGATACTTGAAAATCCCAATTTTCTTCATGGCATGATGTCACATTGTGGAAAATAACCAAATGATGAAAATTTTAAAGAATGAGGAATTGAGAAAAAGTGGTCATTCTTTATTATACCTTTATACCAGAAAGTAAATTTACATGATCCTTTGTCAAAAAATAGTTACTTCAAAACAGTCAAGACCAGTTTTGTGATTGACTATGAAGCTGATAAAATTGCCAACAAAAAAAGTAACTTGCAGCAGTCAAAAAATATTTGCCTTAAGACAGGCTATTTTGTGGTCTGATGCATTAATGTTACATACCATTATTATTAGTTTTTACCAAAACTTTTGTTTTTTTTTTATCATAAACCTTACTATTCCTTTAAAACTTATCTTCCAATTTGTTGATTAATAGGTGCTCATTATCAAAATATTTTTATATGTAGGCATTGAAATATTTTGACTGAATGTAAATTTGCTGTGTGTTCACTTTGCATGGTTGCTAATATAAATATCTGAACATATATACGTTGTACCCAACAAGGTGTACATACAGCCTCGTTATATTTATGTAATGCTGGGCAATAATAAATATTTATTTAGTTACAATTTTTCTCTTATAACATTATGATGTTTAGAGGTTAGTTATAGATGTCTCAAATTCTAAAAAAAAACTAATGATTAAACACTGCTAGAAAATTTGTTTGCTTTGGGTTTTCACTGATACTAGAATCTGAAAATACTAATATGAATGATAAGTTCCAGACTGATAAATATTCAACCAATCAAATGTTCTCATCATTAAAGATATGTGTTACAGACTCTTGAATGCACTGGCAGAGGCATCTGAAAGTGAGATTTGATTCAAGAATTTTGTGAAACAAGAATTGTTTAGGTAGCCCATTGAAATAAAAAATGAAAGGAAATATCTGAAGTTGTATCTAATCATATTGAAGTTATGGTTAACATTGTTCAATTTTAATTGATTCATTTGTTTAGGATAATTATTTAAATATTTATATAGGTGAATGTAGCCTGAAACTTGTATCTGTTATATTTTTAAGAGCTTATGCATTTTAGTGCATTGAAAAATAAATATTGTTATTTATTGAGGTTTTATGTGTCATGAAAGGATTCAGAAATATTTATCCTGTATCATTAATACCTATTGTAAACTGTGTAAATATGATATATATCATAGTAAAGCGAAATTTGAAATTATGCATGTTACAAAAAACAACTGTATAAACTGTATTGTGTTCACAATATATTTTGTAGTTTATAATAAACTTGTGTAAAGCGATTGTAACCAATTTTTTTTTTTAGTTTCATGTGTTCATCAGGGACACATATACCTAGTATTGGCACCACTGGCATTCCAAATAAAACATGTACATGTTCCTGATGTACATAAAAGAGATAATAAAATCTTGGCAATCTATTTTATAAACATAATTGTACTAATGGGATGTCCTCCAATTATTTTTTAAATCAGATATTAATAATATCTACTGTTTTAGAGGACTATGCCACTTAAAGGTATTCTTCCTCTTGAATATGAATTTTACTAAAGTTTTGGATTAGTTACTTGTAGTTTTATGGATTTTTAAGGGATTCTGTTGTAGAGTTTGACACCAGATAAAATAATGAATATATACTCCTTGTGGCTAAGTTTGAGAATTGAAATTTTATGTTCATTCTCTGAGGTAGAATACCTTTAAAATGTTAATAAATGTAATTTTAGAATAGTAATTATTTAAATAATATTTTATAACAATTTAGATATTCAAATAATAGAGAGATACCATGCGTAAATCTCATTCAATATTTGAAAATAGCATATATTTTTACTCTTTGCAGTCAGCTTTAAAGTAACTCTGTACAAGTTAACTTTGTAATATTATGTTAATTGAACACTTTTAATTATGTAATGAAATAATAAACATAATTTTACTAAAATGCAACTTTTTATGGAAGAAGTGACAGCTCAGTAACAGTTTATTTTTTGCTTACATAGAAGTCCAGGATTTATTACAGCATAGTTTAAATGGTACCCTAAGATTTTCAAAAATAAACCAAAGCCCTACCCCCACAGGCTATGCAAGATAAAGATCTCTCCACAGTTAGTAAAAAATTTCCCTCTTTGCACAATGCATGGTGTTGCCAGTCATCATCAGCCCAATTAGATGCAGAATAGTAGGATGTAAAACTCCATTCATTTGTTTTCAGGTTTTTTTTGCAATAGAGCAGGCCAAAATTTTTTAGGTGATTATTATACATAAGTTTTTTTTATCTTTCCAAGCCCTTTTGAAAATATGAGAATGTAAAACACCATTTCAATTTAAGAAAAGAATATACATTTAGTTTTCAATTGAGAATTTCTCTGTAGATTTTGAAAAATATTCAAAAATATAGCTTGCCATGCAAAAAAACTTTTGCCCACACAAGAATCTCACTGTTGCCACTAAGTATAAGACAAATGCTCTATCATAATGTTACTAAATATTCCATCTTTAACGAGATTAGAAATATAAAGAATCTCATACAAAGTTATTCTCATTAAAAAATATTTACCTGGTTGAAATATATAATAATAAAAATAAATGTTTATAAACAACCTGAAACCATTGTTATACAACAAAAAATATCAAATGTACACATCCAGAGTCAAAAATGTCACACACAAAAATCAACATCCATGATCATTCAAAACAGGAAAGAATGACAATGTGTTCAAGGTGTATGTAGTTTCTATCAAGTGCACTGCTAATACAAAGGTAACATTTTTTGTTGTAACAACTTGTGTGTATAAATAACATTTAATGAGCCTTTAGGAAACAAAACAGTTTTAAAAATGATGAAGTCAAATAATAAAACTGGTCAAATTCTATTATGCACATATAAAGAATTACACAACAGTTTTTACAAGTGTAATGTTACATGATAAAATAACTCTATTTACCTGGTATACATAATACTCTTATTAAAGGGGTATTCCGCTTTTTCATAAAAAGTTTTCATTATCAAAAACTTCGTAAATTATACCTGAAAATATTTCTAAATATGCTATTTATATCTATGTTCTACTTGATCAAACTGAATTTGTTTTAAAAATTGTGTTAATTAAAAAAGGAGAGTACTAATTATTAATTAAGCAGTTTGGCCTAGTTTTGGTGTTTGGCTTTATAATGGCTCTAATTTATTAGTTGAAAACTGCAGAATACATATTTCTCTTTAGAAATTTAGAATAGTTTTGGCATTTAGTTAAGGGGCACATTTCTCTAGATTTTGGTGTATTTTTAGAGCAATCAAATTTTTTCCGACCTACAAAAAAGGGGAATATCCCTTTAAATCACCTTAAATATACAACAAATATAACTTTAGTCTTTTATGCCAGCAGTAACACAAATATATAATATAAAAATAGAAGAATAGTCTAAAATATACGGAATAATACCATTAAAATATATATTGCAATCAGTATAAAAATTAATTGAGCAAAAGTTAATAAAATTTATAGAGTTTATTATAGCAGACGGCTGAATCAGGGCAGGGTAATTAATGATATTGATCATTACACATTGATAACGGTCTGGAAACACAATTAGAAGACAACTTTTCAGTGGAAGCACAGTTATTACACCAAATCGAAATCAATCCAATAAAGGTTTCCCTCTACTAAAGAATGAGTAACTTGAATTAATAATAATCAAATAGTTAATATTACTTTCTAGTTAAACACTGTCACAGATATGACAAAATAATGGTAATTGAGCTACATTCTTCAGTAAATTTTGGTTTTAATTTGTCAGTGTGGTCAATGAAGGTGAAGTATCTATTTTGGGTCCATGGCTAGACCAATACTCTGTAAGGCAACTTTAATCTCAGGATAAACAGAGGCATCTTCTATAGTTACTGGTATCTGAAACAAAAGTTAACACTTTAATATCTACGGAGCCCCTAAGGCGCAATTGTAAACATATTTATTTATTATTTCGTTTAAACGAAATAACATCATTTAACATGTTTAAACGAATTAATTATTTCGTTTAAACGAATTAATTATTTCGTTTAAACGAATTAATCATTTCGTTAAAACGAAATGTTATTTCGTTTAAACGAATTAAATTATTATTTCGTTTAAACGAAATACCCTATGTTTATTTCGTTTAAACGAAATAATTATTTCGTTTAAACGAAATAAAAAGATGGATTAATTATTTCGTTTAAACGAAATAGACGAAAAAATTAATTCGTTTAAACGAAATAAACATAGTGTATTTCGTTAAAACGAAATAATTATTAATTCGTTTAAATTTATC